TATATATATATATATATATATATATATATATATATATATATAGTATATATATCATGATTGCTTACAGAAAACTCCGAAATAAAATTTGAACTGAAAATTAAGAAATTAATGCTGTAAAGTGATCTATTTCTCTTCCTTTTTATCTCAGTCAGTTTATCATGGGGAAGCAGCAGCAAAAATTCTTTGATGCACAAATGACTTGTGACGCATCGTCATTCGCGCGTGTTCAATTGATGACGCAGTAGGGCGTGCTCGCGACAAAAAGACACTTCGTCCGTGACACATCAGTGGTACAGGACAAATATTTAGATGGACAAAAACCCGACCGGAAATCCAGCGAAGTCAAACGTCGTCATGCGTGAAAGAGTTCGACCTCGAGGAAGGAATTATTTATACTTTTTGTTCGACGCGCCTTCAAGATGACGTTTTTCCATTTTTTACGTTACAAATGCCGGGCTTAATATTAAAGCCAATGTTAAATCAGATCAATATAAAATATCGGTTTATGTCAAAAAAAAGAAGATAGATCTTTTTCTCATAAGCGATAGCGTCGACACTCCTGTTTATTTCTTGAAAATCGATAGCGCGGATATCGATATTTTCGCTGAAAGCAATTTCGAACAGTTCGGTGTTTACTGCGACCGATGATTGAAGTGGAACACAAACATCGTTATTCCCGTCCAGGGTAATATCGAAGTCGATACTCTCGCCTTCAGTACCGCAAGCCTAGGTGTGACTCGCTCACGCGTGGGATATAAGCGTAATACTTCGCCTGCGCAAGAATCGCGTAAGTATCGCGTATCGTGCACGTTCTGCGTGTCAGTCCGAGCTGCACCGCGGCATAGTATACCACGTTCGTTCGTACACGTCGTGACGAACTGCGACGCGACTGCTCGCCTCTGCAAATCGATCGTGTTCGAGAAAAAGCAAAGGAAATTATCGAGGAGTTCCATCTTCTTGAAAGTACGAGTAAATTGGAGCACGATATGTTCGCACGATCATTCGAATTTTTACTCTCTGTGTTTTCATGAGCTGCAAGCTTGAATGGGAGGTGTGTGAGGTGCAGTGATGTGTTAGAATTCAATTGTAATTTGCGCATGAGAGGCGGGCGCAGACGACGGTACACGTGGACGTACGTATGTTGAGTGAACCAACGGACGAAGTGTTTGTTATTCAGCGTACTACTTGACACCTATTTTGTTTACAACGCATTTCCGTTGGTCGTAGACTCGTGACGTAACTGTGTGCTCATTTCTGCAATAAACGCGCGTTTTCAGTCGAAGTTTCCGAAGTAACATTACAAATCGCTCTATTTGTATTCACAAAGTTTAACTGAACTTTGAATTATCGGGAAGTTTAATTAAATTTCTTCCAAAGTATATACAGGAGGAACAGTCATTGATTAGTTATATTTCACGAATGTTACACGTACATGCTTGCACCTCTGCTATAAGTGCGTCATACACGTGCATAACGCAATTGCTGTCGCTTGTTTTATTTGATTAAAATATTGTTTAGCGCCAAACTGCAGTCATTATCGATGTTTCGTGAGTTATAACTCACAATTATGATACATTATTGCCGATCGTTTCCACTGTTGACGCGCATGTCGTATTTATTCCTGAAAGTTGAAAACAGTTGCAAACTTTAAAAGATCGATTGAGGCCATACGTGGTTCTAAATACATACATATATTCCTTATGACGATAATTTATTGTTATTCAAATTTTTATCAGCCATGTCAAGGATGGCAGTTTTTAGAGCTGTGGCAATTAAGCGCTATTAAAACCACGTTATAATGGAGTTAAGCGCTATTAAAACCACGTTTATAATGGAGGAAAATCAACTGTAGATTTCTTTTTTAAAACTTTAGATTGAAGGAAACGCGCAGGAAGATACGCTGTATGTCTTATTCCTCGAACACGCAATTGCTATCGCTTGTTTTATTTGATTAAAATATTGTTTAGCACCAAACTGCAGTCATTCTCGATGTTTCGTGAGTTATAACTTACAATTATGATACATTATTGTTGATAAAGCTGATCGTTTCCACTGTTGACGCGCATGTCGTATTTATTCCTGAAAGTTGAAAACAGTCGCAAACTTTAAAAGATCGATTGGGGCCATACGTGGTTCTAAATACATACATATATTCCTTATGACGATAATTTATTGTTATTTAAATTTTTACCAGCCATGTCAAGGATGGCAGTTTTTGAAGCTGTGGCAATTAAGCGCTATTAAAACTACGTTACTTATAATGGAGGAAAATCAACCGTAGATTTCTTTTTTAAAACTTTAGATTGAAGAAAACGCACAGGAAGATATGCTGTATGTCTTATTCCTCGAACAATTTTATAATCTTTCATTCGCACCGTGTGAACAGCTTTCCTCGATTTCAACCCCTCGATTTACATATATGCGCCTCCCCTACGCGCGATGCTTATCGCGTTTCTCGTTTTTAGGGTTGCTAAAATTGCAGAGGGGTGAACGTGTTGGGAAAAAAGAATCGATCGCTATCGAATTGTAGTGAAAATCCTCCAAACTGGACGACGGAAAAGGAAAACATCGAAGAGTCAGAATGGCGGATGAAAGTCAACAGAGACCTCAGCCGACTGCAAAAAGCCACAAAATTTTGAGCCACCTGCCGATCGCCATCAAAGTGCTCGAAGTGGCGAGTATCTTTTTTTCTTCGTTAATTGAATAGAGAGAGCAGAATAAATTTAAAACGTACCCAATCTTATGACCAAGATTCAAAATATAATATAATAATGGTTATCAAACTATAGTGAAATAAATTATTACGTTATGAGTTAAAAAATTTATTAATTAGAAGCTAATAATCAAGTAGATGTAGCTACTGCATGAACTATCAGTGATAGAAAAATATTTTGAGAAAATGAGAGAAAAGAGAACGGAGAGAAATTAAATAAATGGGAAACGCGTCGGAAATTGTGTCACACAGGCGACACGAAGGAGATAAAGTGTTGTGCATACTTTCATAAATTTTTTTAAATTTTTTATCCGCATTGACATGACACCTTTTCAATTTACATACATCGCTCTTGACGGGACATTTAATGTCAGCGCAGATAGTAGCCATTTTTGCAATCGGTCTGGCGGTCGATCCGATGAACTCGTTCCAGCGGATCTTCAACAAGCCACGATTCAAGCTAGACGATGCCGCTACTATTTACATCACGGTCGCCGGCTATATCCTCATCAATACGCTTTTCATCCTCGGCCACATGCTGGGTGATCGCGTGCCGAAAAGAACGGTAATGCTGTTACTATTATAATACATCGCGCGTGCTAACGTTTCACTGAAAATTGCCTCAAAAGTTTCTGCGGCATATCCTCTGCGGTTTCCGCGTGATCTACTTTTTTCTGCACATAAAAAAAAGAAAACGCCTTGTGCGTTCTTGCTTTATATAGCCTATAAGATAAAAGCTTACAAAGTTACGAGGAACTATAATCTCTGGAGCCATTTGATTGACTTTGATGAGTCACCCCCGTCAATATATATAAAAAAAGTTCGTTATATATTATTTATATGTTTCTTCTCTTTCTATAATCGGAATAAACTTTCTTAGGAATAAATCTGAATAAATAATTAAACATTCATTCCCGATTTATAAAGTTATATAATATAAATGGATCAATAATTTTTCGTGTTGCGAGATATTTTATCAATTTTCTATGAATCGTGTGCAGATTCCTACAGCTATAAACACTATGAATATATGTCCTTACTATACTTTGCTCGTATTAGAAGGCGCCATTGATTATGAGTAGATACGTCTAGTCCATTTGTACAGCTGAGTCATTACGCAGGCAACGACGGCGTATGCGTTAATTAGCGGAGGCATCAAGGCTTCGTTATGCGAGACACGCTGTAACTCCGACATTGCATTATACGCCGTTTAAAAATGTGTCCCCGAGAGAAATTCATGTAATGTTTGCCGATCACGCGGCATGAGATCAGAGTAGATAAAGTATCAGACCAATTTAACGTGAGTTATTTGAAACGAAACTCGAGACTCTTCAACTGCGTAAATCCTACGTGCGCATCGACATGTTTTATTACGAGGCATAATCGATGGCATTTGCAGTCAGACCTTGACAAACAACGGGAATGTATCTCGATTTCCTAGTTGTGTAAATGCGACGACATGTGCGACAAGATTTTATTTTTCAACACGCTATATATACGGTTAATTAATTCATTTGTTGCTTTAATCATAAACAGATAATGAAAACCAATTTACAACAAACAATATCAAGAACTTGGAAAATATAGTTCCTCCTTTAAAAAGTTTACTTTTACAAAATAATTTTCCACATGCCGAACTTTTTGTTTTTTTCTTTTGTGTGTGGTCGATAATTGAAAATAAAAAGTAACCCGGATTATTGCAAGTTGCTTTTCTAACAGCAAAAGGCGTGCATTTAATTGTCGATGATTGACTGTTACAGTTGCTAATGTTTGCGTCCGTGGGTGCACTAATGCATGTTGTGGCCGGGAGTTTGATGGTCCATAATTGGCGCAATCTCAACGGTCGCTATTTTTACGCACACAACAATGAGATTCATCCCAGCAAGCAGTACATGGACATGCTTATATCCGCAGCCGTATTTACGTTCGTAAACGCGGTAGTATTTATCGCAGAAATTATCGCCATATTGAGATATTCGTGAATTGTACATTTTTACGAAAAATCCAATGATCCAAAGAAGTTGAAGTACACACGAGTGCCGCCAAAGTTACGAAAATAATCTTTTTGAGAAAATATATCAGGTTACCAGGAAAGTTCGACTTTTAATGTCAAAAGAGAGAGAACAAAATGTTAATTGAATTTAGAACACTTACGAAACCAACGTCTACTAATTAATCGGACTCAAATAGAGAGTTTTAATAAAATAAATAAATTGCGTGTTGCTACTTATCATATGATACGTGAAACAATTCTTATATATCTACTAAAGTTGCGCGAAATTTCCTGGTTATATAGTAAGAGTTATAAAGAGAGTTATATAATATATATATATATAAATCTTGTATGAAGTTTATTATAAACTTGTCGAGGCCAATTTTATCAAGCACTTTCAAATTTCCGCGACCAAACGTTTAATTGACGTCGTAATGTTTTATGGATTCTTCATGGTAGATATAATTGAATATTTTGTAAAACGTAACGAATTGTATTTAAGAAATTATCGGGAGAAGATATAACAAATTCCCACCAACTTTCTACAAATAAAGATAGTAGACTTTATTATGAATAATTAACAAATATTAATTTTGTAAATCAACTGACATAAATAAACAACGTGTCGAAATTTATGATTAATTTAACGTATTATAAATGTAATAATAATATTATATAATACTTGTATTTTTATCGCAACAGTTATATATAATAACTTGTAAGTGACATCATATATGTATATGCGTGTAATTTTATCAGAACAATTAGTAATGATAGCAGACATAGTTTTCTAGTATATCTAGTTATATATTAGTATACTTGTATAGCAGTAAGACAGAAACGCGCGAAATTGCAATCATTTCATGTAATTGTCGAAAATTGAAATAATCCTTTGCTATTCCGGCAAAGTATTTATCTGCGAACGAATCCGTCCACTTTTTGTATTCAAAGCGTTTATTTCTATGAAATGTTCAAATAAATAAATTTTAAGCTACTTTTAAGTTATTTTTAATGGGAGAAATTTAACTCCACCTATTTCTTTTATCTCTCACTATTTTATCTCTCTTTTTATCTCTCTTTAAATGTGCTATCCATCAAACACACACTTACTTTAAACGCAAGTAAGATATTTGAGAAATGTTGGAATGACGAAATATTGATTTATATTTGTAGCAAAATATGTCATATATATGTACACATTTACATTAAGAAAAAGAATTGTAAGAGAAATAGTTGTAGGAAGAAAATAAACTTGTTGTCTGAACATTTATTGCGACTAACTTCGCTCGGACTGATCGTAAGAGAAATCCGATTAACCTGCCACGATGTTATTCACGGCCGATCGAATTCGCTGTAAAAAAATTCGCGAAACTACTTATCGGATGCGTTGCACAAGAATTCCATCATGATGGGACAACCGCACGATTTCACACAGAGTTACATTACGCCAGTAACCTGCGAAAACGTTCCGCCTGTGGCCAAACCGATACGTGTCACCCAATTCGTTAGCAAATTACACGTATCACGAATAAAATTACTACAATTATTTTCATTTGACTCATTCCAAGCGATATTAATTCAGTGCTCAATTAGTTCCTAGACAAAAATAATTACTTACCTATTGCCTAATTTATTCCGGTGGAAAATTATCGTTATTATTTGATTTATGATAAACAAGGCTGATTTGTCTTGGTTAGTTATACATGCAATGTCATCCGTGTAATGTATTTTCATTAAAATCTAGCTATTGGTAGCGGCGATTTTCACATTAACCGCGTACACGATCTCCAGCGATAGTCCGTACGAGAAAATCGAAGAGATACTCTTAATATCGCTTTACACTAGTTTCCTCCTCGTTGCTGCGATAGATATGATCAGTCAACTTAGCGGCGAGCCGATACCAGATACGCCGGTCAGTATTAACCTTTGCAGTTATTGCTTCATTCTGCATGCGCAAACAAAAATGATAGAGTTTGTTGGGAAGCCTTTAAATCTCTTACGTCTGTTAATTTTCATAAAGGAGATATTTAATATTAATGCGAGAGTTATATTCGTATACAGATGTTCATGTTTGGAGTGGTGGGTACAGTCCTATTCCTGATGGCAGCGTTTGGAATTTTCTTCGTCACGAACAGAGCGGGTATAACTCAAGTGTGGCGGTTGATAACGAGCGTAGCGTTATCAAGTGTTTGCAGTTTATTGTATTTGTTGGACGTCCTTTTAATCTATTTATATGGTTATTAAATAAATATATGTATACACATGTATACTTCCTGTAAATATATAATGAAATAAATTAAATAAATCACTGTAAATGTATATATATCTTTCTTAATAAATATATTTCTTTTTTTGAGAAAAATGTAACGAATGCTAAATGGAATCTGTTTTTCCCAAAACGCTATTTCTCTGGGAAAATTTCGCAGACAAACGCGCACGAAGTTGGTCATTGGAATGATATTATGAAAATAATATTGATTAGGGACGTAAGAAACAAAAGTATCCAACATGTCTGCGAACTTTCAAAGTGACATTTGCGCAATATTACGTTAATATCCGAGAGAGCTTGAAAAATGAAATCGGTTCAGCTGAAGCCGTTACAATTTAACACAAAATGTGTGCTGACTATGATAAAGCCATTGAGGATATTTCAATTCGTACGTATACTGCGCCCCCCCTTACTCCATTCAATATTATCAGAATACTAATAGATTAAATCGAATCACGCAAAATTATTATTAACCGTCACTTAAAATTTTCTTTCGGACAGCTCGTGGTATCGTTGATATTCACGTTTACGGTCTGCATGATCTTTATGGAGCGTACGCCGATAAGCGCTCTGGCGTGCATTCTATTAATCGTCCTATCAGGTGTCTACGTGTTCGTTCTAGCTATTGAGCTAATCGGGCAATTTTCCAAGGGTGGTTCTCCTATTTTTCCGGTAATTTACATTGTACTCTATGCATAATTCGTGTCAGTGGAATTAGATAACTATGCTAAACGGTTTCATTTTATCATATTTTTTTTACCATGAAAATTGATGTTGCCTCTTTCAAAAAGATAGTTTTCAAAAAGATAGGTTATTTATCTATATATATAGTAGATCGACAAGTCGGAAAATAATATTTCACAATTACTCTGTTGTATATCGATAATCTCCCCTTGCCTCAATAATGAAATATTAAAGTTCAATTATAAATATTAATATAAGATTAATTATTAAATTGTTACAGATGTTTGCGTTTTCCTTGCTTGCTGTTTTCTTCTTCTCAATTGCGGGAATTTTGTTACTTTTGTACGGTTATATAGAACAGCCGCTACAAATAGCAGCTTTGACACTATGTCTCTTGGCAGCGACGATTTTCCTGATCGACATCACCTTGATGCTCACGTGAGAGTCTTGACTTGTTAATTATTTATTATATATTATTCGAGGTGAAAGACCGGATTGATCGAATATTTTCCGTGTGTTCACAGATTCTGGAAAAAGAAGTGCTCGCACTGCAGACGATGTTGTAATGATGCAACGGAAGTTTTATTTCGTAAAAGCGACGAACCGAAGTTGACCAGCGTTGAGGTGAGAATTGACAGAGATGTCCCACTTGACAAAAATCGTAGAAAGAGTATAAAAAATAGACACAATTTATATATTATAGATAGATCAATATTTATTAATTACAAAAAAATAATTTAATTTCTGTTTTAGCTATTCTGATGATTATATTTGGATATTTAATTATTACATTTAATATAATAATAACAGGAAAATTTTGTGTCACTTAAAATTAAAAATTGAACTAAAACTTACTGTTCCAATTGATATGTTTGGAATGCAAAAGGTAACGCAGATAAAGCAAGACACAACGACCAGCATAAGTGACGTCAGACTGCCAAGTGAATTGGAGAAAATTGCGACCGAAATATCGCTACCAGAACATTGTTACCGGAAAGTACAGAATGCTCGGCGTCGACAGTATGTCGATTGTCCAACCTGTGTCCCGTCGTTATGTAATCTCGGCATCGCCCAAATTCAGACTGAGCCGAAAAAAACTTCTGTGGTGGAGATTCAAGTAAGCGATGTTCACTCAGTCAAATGACGCTAATTGATCGCTAGTAAACCATCGTTTTAATTTATTTGGTTTGAAAATATCTTCTTCCCAGTAATTTTAATATTTTAAAGAAAAAATTTACTTAACTGATCTTTTCTAAGTATAAGATCTGAAGATTGTCAAAGGATAAAATTGCCGAGATCTACAATGTTGTAATTTTCCGGAAAATTTTTCACCGTTTATATTATATCGCTATATAAGTTTGTGTTCTTTCTCGCGAATGTGAACAGACCCCGACGGCCGTTACGAAAGAAGCACCGATGCAGACGTTGAGCAAATGCGAATTCTGTCAACGAATGATGCAACCCGGCGATGATGCTTCTGGATGCGGGCCACTGTGTTCGCAGGACCCGTCGCAATGGACCACTTATCCTGCCATTTTGCAAATTGTTCGAGGAATTGGCATGCCGTGTTGTCCTAAGTATTTCGTACGGTTTCCTGCTATACTCAGAACTCGGGAAACGACATAGACTTTTCCGCAGGTGCAAATGTTCAAATGACGCTACGCAAACGCAACAGCAGCCACATCAGTCTACGAGAGAGTATACGAAATGGCATACGCAACAAGTATCGGCTTCTTCACATAAAGATGATACGTTGACGAGTGAAAGAACAGAGCAGGTTGCGAGTAAATCTGATATAATAATAAAGTCCTTTAATAATTCAGGTAGAGGTGTCTTATAGCGCAAGCAAAAAGGCAATTTCAGGATCTAATTTGCTGCAAAAATTACTTATTTTGTCAACTTCTCAGTTTACTTCTCAATTACTTCGCTCGCATTTTGGAAAGGCCTAATCTTGAATTTCGCGGTATTAATGTTATCGTTATCGTTATGCTGTTAAATGACGATTTTCATTGAAGATTCCGTGAATACAACCGATAAGGAAGTAACGACACTTATGACAGAATCCATCACTCCTAGCACTCTATACATGACATCTACCAAGAGATATCCATCAAATCTTCATGTAGACCCAGTGTATGTTCATTTTTACAATTTATGTAACGGAATTTGCAAAACAACCAGAAATATTTACAAAAAAAAACATACAAAAAATAAAAAACTGGAAATTGCAAATTTATCTATGTTCAATTAATAATAGCTACAAAGGAAAGGTCGAAATAATAGATGCAAGAGAAGATACGAAACAAACAGACGATGAAGCGTCAGCGCGAGACGGTGACCGGATTCTCGCGAGAGAAACAATCGCGACGATTGCAACAGCTGAGAAATCCAAAAGAGATTTAATGAGCGTCAAGCCCGTGGCGGAACAACTGAGAGTGAACACTTTAGTGACTTTGCAGGAAGAAGAAACTCGAGAAGAAAATATTGCGGGACACGAATCATTGATAGATAAAGAGAAGATCGAAAAGGGAGAAACATCAATCAAAGAAGAGGAATATAACGACAGCCTAGTTGAAAGGAGTAAAGGAGGAGGAGGAGAAGAAGGAATCAGAATGTGGCAGCAGTTTATGTGCATAACGGAACAGGGAAACATGGCGAAGATAAAACAGTCGCCGAGGCCTTCCGTTTCCACACAAATGTAAGTCTATTACTTTATAGTGTGCGAGACAAATCGATTTAACTATGCATCTCTCATGAACGTATAGTCAAACTGACCCTTAAAACTCTTGGCTCCTCGCCACAGAACTTTTAATCGATGATGTTAGAAGCGCAAAAATACGCGCTACAAATTCTGATAAAACACAATTAAATAAAAAGTATTCAGGAAATGACACTTGTAATCGGTCAGACTTAAATATGAACAAAAACGTGTTTTAGGAGCACTACGCAGATCATATCGCCGACTCGTAGGGTCAGTAGGACGTCTAAAACGTTTCCGCATTTGAAGTTGAACAAAGTGGACCCTATTGGCAATATGTAAGGTCAACGAAAACTCGCAAATGACGATCTACTGAGCGTTGAGACTAGATCAAAGTTGCAACACTGATTTATCTTCAAACATACGCTGTCTATTAGTTAAACATAACTTTATTTATTTATTTAGAAATATATTTGACGAAAACCGCATCAGTGGAAGACCAAGGCACGAGACGTCGGAAACAGCACATGTTAATCGAGTAAAAAGAGTACGAGACATTTACGTTATTAAATGATATAAAGTTCTGGAAGATAAATTCTAACATTTATCTGACACTCGTTCATATTTTAGGACGGATTCGCTGAACTATCGAGTCTTGTGGAACGTCAAGATGCTTGCTCTTTTTGCGAGCAACAGAAAGTAAACATTGACAATTAATTAGCTTAGTTATATTTAAAATTAATGAAATTCTTCATTATTTAAAATTCTCTAATAACGATTGGTGGTTTTTAGAGTTTTACTCCCATCTCGAGTAACAGATATTACAGCGTTTATATGGACAAAAAGAGGTATTTGTGCGAGTTGTGCGCACCATTATATTGTAAAAAGGTAATGACGAAAATACAGTTTACGCGAATATGCTTATATGTCGAAAAAAATAGAAATTATTCTGGGATTAAAAAATAAATTTTGTGCAAATTGCACAGGATTCATCAGCAAAATATCGGATTCCTTCATGATTAAATTCACTATTCAAAACAAATTTTCGTTAATTCGTTTAATTCACAAATTCAATTTGTTAATAAAAAAAATTCTTTTGTGCGCTCCAGGTGATTCGCAAAATTCACGTTGCATATGCGAAGAGACTGCGGTGTAGTAATTGTGGAGTCTCCCTTCAAGTCATTGAAACCGTAAGTTGGAGGAATGATTTAGTGGATTATCGATAGTGATTTAGAGGATTATCGAAATGAAGGTGTCGTAAATATTCTTTTGCTCACAGAAAGTTCCACTGAAATCAAAGGCTTGTCCCAAATGCGGTCGATCACAAGAACACGCCGTTTCTCGTTCTTCAATGTAAAATATCATAAATATCGGTACTGATATGACGCGATATGAGGTATGTATTGTAAAGATAAGAAACATCGTGGTGGATTTCTTAAAAATTTATTCCTTACAATAATTTTCATTATAAACAGCGATAAGACTAAGCGGAATACACAGCTTATTTATTTTCTCATAAATATGCGCATGAAATGGAATGGAAGAAAGGCAGCACTGATTGTGTTGTTGATTATTGATTGTAACTGTGTAACAATATCATCGGAAGAACATGATTCGCACCTCTTAGTTTAATATTCTTCGAAACATGATCGCTGTGACATATTATTTGTAATACAATTATTGTTATGAAACTACTTATTGTCATTTGTACGATTCTCAAGTTCAGTCTTAAAACATAGCATGATAGTATAGTTTTGCATAATTTCTGATTATGTGTCCTTTGAAAATTCTCTCTCACTTAAAACGTGTATTGATAATAAAAACATAATGATAAAAGATCTCATTCTGTGAAAACTATTGATCGCCTATAGTACATGGTACATTTTGCTTCTAAATGGCATATACTGATATATAGTAGATACCAAACAAAAACCAATATATATTATTCAATCAAATTTAATCTGATGTAAATCTGCAGTTTCGTAAACGTGCTCTCATGAACAAACCACGATTATGTAAAAAAACACAAACACATGCCTACGATGATGCGTAGCTCCATAAATGATAACGTATAATAGCTATATTACTATTAAAATGCTATAAAACGAATGAGTTGTAAATTAAAGAAACTGCAATGACTTTAATGAGGAGCTAAAAAACAAAGAAAGCAATTATTCTCACCCCACTTACATGCTAACTTCCGGAGATCGTTATAACGTAAAACAAAAAAAAAGTATTATTCTAATAATTGTTATATTATATAGTATGTAAAATAAAAATAAAAACCGTATCTTTGGTACTTGAACGCGCAGCCGTGTTCTAAAATATCCGTAAAGTGTCAAAAAAGCCCGATTCATCATGGCAGAATGCGATCGGTTGTTTGCTTCAAGATCGGTCTTAGACGTCTTTCGTCGTTTATATCAGTGCGAAACAATGTATTCTCTGACAAAACTCTCCGCGCGTGTTTTTGCGTGAATTTCGGCGTGTCAGGCCGAATTTTACTCGACGCAACGTTGCTGATATACAAGGAAGCAAAGTCGTTTTCAGTCTTCGTTAGAGTTTTAGCAGATCGTATTCTACGATCGTTTTTTTTTTTACCTAAGTTGAAACTACGATCTACCGCGACAGATTCATCCCTTACGTGTGATTGATTTTTTAGATAAATGTGTGAAGACATATCTATTTCAGGAATGTTGCGAGAATAATTAAAAATTAAATACTTTTCGTAAGCTGCGGCATCATATGGATGTTGAAACACCATAGATGGTACGGACGGTTGTGGCGTGACATACGAGGCTTCCGGATAATTCTGTCGATATAAAGGAAGCTGATGTGGAATAATGTCAGCGGCAATCGGTTGGCTATAATCAATTCTTTCGTTAGATAAATAGTGGTACATGTCGCGACAATTTAAAATATCAATGTTATTTGTATATTGATACGGTGTAGGGAGAGTGTTTAATGGCATGTATCTCATGTTGCTCTCACAACTACGCCCTGGCACGTCCAACACCTTCGTGGACAATACGTGATTCTTTGAGCTGTTGGAACTCGTAGACCAGCGGGGTAATTGAGAGACCAGACTGGAATTCCACATATCGAAATTGCGGAAGTTATCCTTATTGGAATCTTTCAAGTCTATCTGATCTCTCACAGCATCGCAATGATCATCCAACAATTGCACTTTGCTATGTGCATCTACATCCGGTGTTTTATTAGACGGATCATCAGGCAAAGAGTTATTTAACGCCGCTGTCATTGTTAACATATTGGAATAACGTGTGCCAATGGAACTGTGGATATTCTTAGAGGGACTGCCACTAGAACTAGGAAGATACTTAGAGAAACTGCCACTGGAATTGTGTAGATCCTTAGAGGGACTGCTCTTTATGTTGTAATCGGGTGGACTGATCGGCGAAAGTGACTTGGGAGCTGACGAATACGTCGCCTTCTTAAACTGCAGATGCTTTCGAGTGATTTGAACATCGCCCTTACTATCCACTATGCCACGATCTTCGTACTAACGACACAAAGATGCGATTTATAAAGGAGGAATTAGATTTTGCTAAAACTAGCGTTGTGACTCAGTTTATACTGACAACGCTAATTGAGAAGATAATGTTAAGAGCAAAGAATTATTAATTTTGAAATAATTGAGATATGAAGAGAATTCAAACGCTATAAATCGTTTGTAAAATACATGTTGCCTTTCATTACGAAAGAATTGAACTATTAATGATAGACTACTGTCATATTGGGATGTGTACTTCGTTGTATTAGAGAAACGGAATTAGAAAAATCAGAAACGGTATCAAACAAGGAATTATAAATCCTCAGACTTGCCTCGAATTCGTCGACGAATTAGCCATCGTCAATATTACAATATTAGATAGATTCTCATGTTATTCACATATATATTGGATTAGAACTAATCATAATTTCTTTGGTAACTTAAAGTTCTTTGCATCAAAGAACTGTTTTGGATAACCTTTGAAAACCTTTGGAAAGAAATAACATGTTTTGGAATAAGATAACATGTTTTCGAAATGTTTTGAATGTAAACCGATAAGATGTTGCAATACAACGCGTAAAAAATAGTTACGTGATTATCTCATGAAACAAACAACCTCATAGTCACAGATAACTGACATTTTCCAATCCGTGTGGTCTTCACTTAATCTATGTCTGAAAATATTCTTATTTTCTGGGAATTCCATTACGAACGCAAGAAATATTGGCCCATATTTTGAGTTCTCTTTTAACGATAAATGAACCTCTAAAAGTGACTCATAGTCAATCAGAAAGCTTATAAGCCACTTTTAGAGGCTCATTTATCGTTAAAAGAGAACTCAGAATATAGGTCATTGTATTTGTAACACATCTAATCTTTCTTGAGTGAATATATGAACATAATACTCAATTACTTTTTACAAATAAACTTTTTAGAAATAAAGGTAACTATTTCTGGGAACTTCTGGACACAGTTTCTTAAAGACAGAGTTAAAATTTTTAACTGACTAATCATAATCATTTAAGAACATTCTTTGCAGCACACGTCCAAGTTTCGCTAGAGATTGAAAAGACAAAGAAGGAGATTACTATTTCTGAGAGCTTCTTTATCACAGAAAACAATTTCGCCACAAAGACAGAATTAAAGTTTTTAATTGACTAATCAGAATTACTTGAAAACATTTCTTTGCAGTGTCTGAGTTTCACAGAATGTTGAAGTTTGAATCGAAGAACAGGTCATGTTATATTGAAACACTGCTAACTCAATTTCATATCTTCTATATCTTCTAGTATCACTGTATCAAGATTGAAGAACAATTTCTTTAAGTACTTACCAGCAAACGAATTACTATGAAAAACATATAAATGTTTACACATGAATTGCGGATGTGCACTCATGTGAAATATTTACTACTCACAGAATATGACATAAGAACTGCTAACTATGATCTTCCCTGCCTTGAGATTTACTCGTATTACTCAAAGAATACTAAATACATCTAATAAATAAGAATCAACGAACCCTACATGCCATAATCACGTACCATTTCAGCCTTGGCCAGATAGATCCACAGCTTGCGCCATGTGCTGAATTTATTTTGGTCGCTGAAGTTGTACCGCATTTCCTTGGAGGCGTACCGAGTCGACAGAGGACTACGATAGTCATAGTACACGCTATTCTGCACTTTAGAAACACTCATTGTTGCTGTAAAACTCGCACAAACGTCTGAGATGACCAAGTGAATGAAACTACCCACACAGGCAACCGGCACCAGCTGACATCGTCGGCCTTCTAGAACCTGACCGAGTCTGAAGAATTGATTAAAGCCACGTGAGCGTCTCGTGGTGGAAAAGGAGGAGAACTGTTTCAAATTGCTACTCTCTTGCTCTGTCGATAAACCAGGGACAAGCCAGCTTATCACAAGTTATTTCAAGTATTGATTCTTCGACCAAAATTTCTCTGGCTTACTATATCATGATAACAGAATTCTTACTTAGCTTCTAATTATAATCTTTTATCTTCTTCTAATTGCTAGCTTTTAATTGCATCTGATACATAATGATTCATAAGTTTCAACCAATTATGTAATCAATCAAACAGTACGTATCCCAATATGACATGTAACGTTCAATGAAAATATTGAACGAAATCCTAAACAAATAAAAATATATTCCACAATTATATATTTATAAACATTATATAGAGACATAAAACAACATGTAACTTTTTGTAAAATTTGATTTTTGATAAATAAAAAGAACAATCATAGTTTGAAGTCTCTTCCCTGCAGCTACTTTTGATTTTAATTGAAGCGATGAGACAAGAAAGAATTTATATCAAAAGTTATGCCTTTGACAATCCTAAAAATATCATAATTATTAATTTTTTTAGAAAATAAACAACCAAAAGTAAAGATTTATATATTTGAACAAAATCTCATCGCTTCAATATCAATCGTTGAAACCATATGCTCGCATACTTATCAAAATTATAAATTAACTACCAGAAGACTTCCCACTTTTTTGTAAATCTTGATTTTTCATAATTAAATAGAGAAATCAAGATTCATAATCTTTTCTCTGCACTTATTTTCAATTTTAATTAAAGCAACAAAGTGAAGAGGGATTTTTATGAAAATCATGCTAATAATAACCTTAAAATGTCATAATTATTAAGTTATGCCTTTGACAACTCTAAAAATATTACAACTATTAAGTTCTCTGAAAAATAATCAGTTAAAAGTGGAGATTTGCATAGTTGAACAAGATATCATCACTTCAATATCAATCGTTGAAACCATATGCATACTCGTCAAAATTATAAGTTAACTTCCAAAAGATTTTTCACTTTCTTGTAAATTTTGATTTTTCACGATTAAGTAGAGAAATCAAGATTTGTAATCTTCTTTCTGCATTTATTTTCAATTTCAATTAAAGCAATAAAGTGTAGAAAGATTTTTGTCAAAATCAATGATAATGATAACCCTAAAACTGTCATAATTATTAAGTTATGCTTTTGACAACTTTATAAGTATTACAACTATTAAGTTCTCTGAAAAATAATTAATTAAAAGTGAAGATTTGCATAGTTGAACAAGATAGCATTGCTACATCAATTGTTGAAACTCACTTGTCGCACTTCACGCACTTGTCAAAAATAAGTTCAAAGAGACTTCGCACTCACCACATTAGAAGGGTTCCAATCGACGCGTGCCCATTCTACATGCACTTCATTGCATTTAAACAATCTTTCAGGCCTCAATTTGCGCCTTGCTAAGGCTGCATTACGATGAGACTTAAACGAAACTATAGCATACGCTGCATCATGATTAAGGAATCGGTAGATTGATACGCATTCGATATCCCATGCTGATGCATAGATCACCTGCACATGTAACAAAGAGGAAGAAGCAGATATAATAAAAATGAAAATTAAACAAGTAAAATAGTCACCTACAATATAATCTTAATTAAATTATCAATAGGTTATATAAGTTATTAACAGGTCTGTTTATCGTAGGTTAGTATCATATTCTGTATACCGTATATTACTCATATAAATATCAACATTAATATCACATCAATATTATAATTTTTCACTTAACAACGTAATTGTGTTACAACATAATATATGTGGTATTGCATTTACATCACTGAGTGGGAAATTAGAAGATCGATGTGTGGTATTGTTAAGTGTGGTAAATGTGTGGTATTGTCTATGTTTGCTGCATAATCCATGAATGGAGCACAAATAAGGTTTGAATATAAATATAAACATAAATGAAAAGAAAAACAAATAAAATACCTACAATACAATTACTTAAGTTATCAATAGGTTATATAAGTTATTAACAGGTTTGTTCATCATAGGTTTAGTATCATATTCTGTATACCACTACATACATTATTCATATAAATATCTATATTAATATCACATCAATATTATAATTCTTCACTTAACAATTAATATGTAATACAATTAATATATAATACAATTAATTACAAATGTAATTGTTACACACAATATATGTGGTATTACATCACTGAGTGGGAAATTATAAGATTGATGTGTTGTACCGTTAAGTCTGTGTTTGCTGCATAATCCATGAATAGAACACAAATAAGATTTGAATATAAATATAAACATTAATGAAAACACAAGACTTACCCTGACCACTTCCTCTGATGTAATATGCCATGGCAAAGGGCCAACGTAGAGCTTGCACTTGTTCACACTTGCCAGAACACGTATCTTTTTGCCTGGCAGGATCTCGTGCTGATCTAGCTGGGTGATGGCTTTTGCTGCGTCCTCCGGATTAGTGTACATAATAAAACAATAACCTCTCGTTAACTCAGCCATATCCACCATTAGCCGAATCTGGAAGATCTCGCCTATCACTCTGAACAACGGATACAAGGTGTCTTCGTAAATCGTCTTAGGAATCCGGCCGACGAAGATCTCACAGTCGATTCCGGGTGTTGGACCGCTCCATCGGATCGGCTGGACGCTAAGAATCCTCTGACCATTAATCTGCGTGGAAACGAGCTTGTTCTCGTGCAGAAGCCGAAGGATATTCTTGTGCGTTTGCAATTGTCGGCGTAATGCGGGAGACATGAGCGAGAACGTCGATCTACCTTCATCGCCTGTATATTACAAATATGATCTGCTAAATGCTATCATACATTTAGATTTACTAATTCGCGTGCATTAGTATTTGAATTTTGATGAATTTTGATTATATAGAAATATATAGACATAAATAGACAATCACAATAACTTCAAATATACGTGTAATTTTTAATTAGAAGTTTTAATCATACAGAAATATAATTCTGAATAGGAAATATGAAACTATCTTGTAAGAATATGATGTATATCATAATATGAAAGTTTCTCGTCTCGTGTGATACATTCATAATAAACATTGTGTTATAGTATCTATAGAAGAATTCTTTCTAGAAAAGAATTCAGTTACTCTACCAATATTACTAGAGAGAACACTTCAGTTCATAGAATTCAGATTTGTAGTGAAACACATTTTGATGAGAGAAGAGAGATGGATAAATTGATAGTATTATGTATATATAACAAAGAAAATAATTTGTGCATGTTTAGAGACTACAAATTAAATTCATTGTTCTTTTACAATTAGTTTTCTTTTCATTGTTTGTTAAAGAGAGAAAAATTTGCAAAATTAAACGGTTTATAATTATAATATATAATTTTTAATATTTCAACGTATCTACATTTTTATTTAAAAATATTTCCCTTGTGTTTACAAAACCATAAAATTTTGTACAATTTAGATTCACCAGAAAATGCACTTTCACTACAAAATATGCTTAAGTAAAAGGGAGACTCTCTAATCACTCTCATTTCTACTACATCATCACCGTTAACATTTCCCGTGTTCGGAGACAGTCCTCTTTCCATAGTACCAGTGCCCACGGTATCCTCATTGTCAATGATGGAATAATCCGACCACAATAATGGTTCCTCACTCATCTGCTCACTCTCACGATTGTCTTCCTTCTTACTGTTCCTCCTGCGACCTCTTGCCCTACGATTCTCTTTTGACTTGCCGTTCTCCATGTCGTCACGTGTTTCCGATCAACAAATCGTTATATCAGCTGACTGTTATCAGATTGACTATAGATATTAGAAAAAATATACATATGCATGTATATGTGTACATAGGTATATGTATATATTATATTTTCCTCGATATTGTCGATGCAGGCTTTGCAACAGTCAATAAACGATCTATTGACGCAACACGTAACAACCAGTCCTACCATCAAGAAGGATGTCAGCACTCTGCGACCTCAAGAAAGGACGACGAATTTGGATGTATCAGGATTGGCCGACAGTTTAGCGTGGAAGGGATAAACCACCCTCCATCTCTCTCCCTCTGAGAGCGATATATTCCTTCCTCTTCGGTTTCCAGGACGAGCGAGCCGCCGCGGTGTCGGCACGATTGTCATTTGTTCTCCATCGAAGCGGAACTCATAGCTTATCGCGGCGTCAAACAATCGATCCGATCATGCATTGTCCTCGCGGTCGCGATATATCAATTGCCCACACGTGCGTTACACTCGCGTTTTCAAAGCACCGACTCGAATGCTTAAAATTCACAAAATATCCTCTCTCTGAAACTCTTCTCATATAATGTATTGTTTGTTATCTAGAAAAACTCTAAAGTGCTTTAATGGAAAATGATACAAATATGAAAATGATACAAAAATGATTTAATTTCATGTGTGGAGACCTAACAAGGAGCACTTCGCGCGACAACACTAGCGATACCCAAAACAATGCCCATGTTGCTGCTAAGGGTGCAGCGGAAGTGCAGCGGGAGAAAAAAAATGAGGTTTTTAGTGAATAAACAGGAGGATAAAGAGGAGAGTCTCACACTATCTCGGGGCATCGCCCTCTCCCGGGATGTGCATAAAGCATTTTCCTCATTTTATAAAAAAAAATGTGTAGAGACCTTAATGCCGCGATCTACGCACAAGAAATGGCTTTCCACTTGAGAGAAAATATTGTTTCAAAAAGAGTATAATTTCCATAATTAGTTTAACTGTAATTAAATTGCAATAGAAATTGCAATTAAAAGTTACCAAAGACAAAAATATCTCTGCACTGGAAAAAAGTAAAATGGAAAGTATGAAGCACCAAGAAATTAGAGACAGCGACAGGATTTAACGTGTTGCGAACGGGTTCAAGGTACCAAGAGTGCAATGAGCTTCTCCGTGACATAAATTCGCGGATTCGCACCGTCCTGCGCCATTGCACCGTGTGATAATAGCATTGTTACCTGTCAGTCGCATGCAGACAGTCCTTATTACGTGCACACGGTGCCTCAACTTTAGCAACTCCACCTTCGTTATATCTTCTCAGTCGTCGTCCAAGCGCGTCGTGACGCGAAGCTCCGTTCTACGATTTCGTTTCGTCGTTGAATACTGCAGGTGATAACAGTTCCCATTACCAAGTAAAAGTGTTCGGTGATAGTGAGTTGTTCAAAGCGACGTAAAGTTAGTTGTTTCAAGAAATCTTCTATATACAGTCATTTATACACAATTTCGAGAAAATAAAAGTAACTTTCGCGTTTGTATTTTTCAAATAATTGTGTATTTTTTGTTTTCAAGTAATTGTATATATATATATATATATATATATATATATATATATATATATATATAATTAAATATTAACTATATCGAGAAAACAATTTAATTTATTTTAATCAATTTTATTTAATTTTTTTTTCGCGCTAAGAAAAAATGTTACTTGCATGAATTGATACTTTAATTAAATGTATTTTTAAGAAAAAATCGTTACGAGCAAAAAATTAATATGTGAAAAATATGTAATTAGATAGATAGTCTCCTTAATGAAAAATATTGATTTCCATAAGTATTTTCAAACTAATGATATTGTAAATATACACTATACATTTTTGTAAACATAATTAAGTTGATGAAAATGTGTATATTAATATTAACTTTCGGGAGAATATATTTCATGTTGCGCAGAAGTTTTTTAAAGTTTCGAGACCGTTCTACATTTCTCTGTCACACAAAAGAACTTCAGATAAAAACTTTCACCTACACCATTTGGACTGAAATATGACTATGATTTTTAGTCTTTAGAGTAGAAGTACTTCGTGCCCTCATTACGTGACAAAACTAGTTACCAATGCGAGGAGTAGCGTTTCAAAAGCAACTGAAAACAGTTTGTTAATAGCCTGAGAATTCACGTAATGTTTCGCCGAAAAGAGAGTACATTTGCGCAAACAGCAGTTTGTTCCTCGTTCCTGTAGTTGTTCACTCGGCATTGCCTCCTTGTTTGGCGCATCATGTGGAATCGCAAAGTATTCATCCGAATAATCGAAGTGGTATGTGAGCAAATTTTATTTTATTAAATTCTATTCTTTCATTGTTTATTCTGCTATTAAAAGTTACATATTATAGGAATCTAACGTGTTAAGATTAGTTAAAAGGTTAATATATATATGCCATATGATTGAAACTCTGAGACTTTTTATTTATAATTGGCATTGTCTAAGAAGTAAAATTAATATAATTCTAATGATTCTGAGAGTGATTCTCTGTCATGGTTTTGTCTTCAAACATTTTAGCCTACTTTTATTGTTTATCAATTCATGAAGAGTTATAGATTCAACGACTTGGAATAATAATAGTAGTAAAATGATAGATGCATGATGTATGTAATGTAATTCGTAACACAAAGAGGCATTATTTAACACATAAAATTTTCCATATTTATATATATCAAATACTATTACCAAGTAATATTACATTAAATTATTATCAAATAATAACGAATATATCACTAAAATAATATCAGGTACGGCTATGATGGTAGTTATAACTTGGTTAAGTCGCTTATGAAGTTGATAATTAGATAATTAAGCAAAACACATTGCAGCTTTTATGCGTTGCTTGCGTCGTGGCGCTCAGGGTGACGGATGATGAGAGTCGAAGGGTGTTCCATTATCTGAGGAATCGTAGCAGGGAGTGGTCGCTGTTGAACAACGTGACATGGGGCAGTATAGGTACTTGTGATTCATGGACGAGTCCTCGCTGTACCAAGAAGCACGATTCATACAATTCATTTCCTGATTTCCGTGTATTTAGGTGCTGCTCTTGCAACAGCGACCTGCGGCGGATATATCATAATAACGACGGGACTGTTGATCGCCGCGGCCACCGGGGAACTTCGAGGTCGAAAGACGGTAATTGCTTTCTTTTTCTCATGCAAAAAGAAATACGTCGTAGGTCTGAGTTTCGTAATACCGTCAATACACTAGCCGTAGCTGTGATAGCGTGGTAACGACGCGACAGTGTAATGGCAATTAATTAAAATTATTCTGCAAAGTTATTTCGGGAGATTTGAAAATGAATTCGCACATATTATCAGCACATACTTTATAGAGCAGTTTCACTCTCAATTTGGAGTAAAGTTGCTTTTGCCTTTAACTATGTAGATGCTACGTCAATATCAGCTTCTTGCAAAGACAAACACTCTCTGAACTAAGCGTGTATGTTTACCGCCGAATGTTATTGTTCTTACAACATCAGACTCGTTATCACAACTCGCTATCTCTTCGACATATACTTTCTCGCATGGTCCACAATCGCCATCTTGGTTTTATTTATTGATTCAATTTTTTCTAGAAGAATAAAACTCTCACATGTATAAACATTTCGTGTGTGATGTTTGGAAAAACATCATAGAGAAGTGAAAAGACTTTGTTTTCTTCTTCATTATAAATTTTATGTGAATTTTATTTTATGTTAACACACACACATACACACATGCACACACATGGGTGGTTATACGAGATCATCTTGACGGCAACGACTTTTCCATCGTAAAATGTATACCGCAGTTCCCACATAAGAGCAATAAGATGGCGAGAGTTGGATTTGTTTCGATACATCGAGATCCTTCCCAGGCACTTTCAATTTATTCCGAGGCTAGTCGCGAGATACTCCGAGACATTCGCGCTGTCGCGAGTAAAAATATACCGTGTAAATCTTGACGTGATGGCGGCAGCGTGAGAAAATCACGACGCGAAGATGTCATTGAGGGGCCAAGGATAAGAATATTCACGATGCCGAGCTCCGTCGTGCACGTAATCGCATCCTTGGTCAATCGAGACACGTAATGTAAGCCATTTAATGACTCATAACCGGGGCTAAGCCGATGTCATATAAATTGCAGGAGTGCACAAGTTTCTTCCGTTTCTGCGTCAGTGTTTCTGATAAAGTATTTATCCGCGTAAGATTATTATAGACAGATAGCAACGATGATGTGGTCACAAGAACGCAATATCTTTTAAAATTCCTAAGTTGGATAGAAGACGAATTAAATTTGCTTTCTTACACACAAGCTATTTTGTCTTCTCTTAGGGAAATAATTTCATTATGAATACATGAAAAATATATAATATATTTTTTTAATTTAAGATATTGACACTTTACAAACATGAAGAAACTATAGGAGCCTAAATAATTTTTTAATTGCGACACTGACAATAGTCACTTATATTTCGCGCTGATTGTCGCTACAAGGACTCGTTTCATCTAAAGATCTTGTGTAATAGGTTTCTAGGTTGTGTAATAGGATAATCGATCGGCTATGTATAGTATAAGTAGAACACATCGTCATTAAGTTCACACAAGTGTAACGGGTGTAGTTATTATCGAGGCTGATTAAAATTCAGGAATTCTTTCTGCTCGGGCTGGGTGTGATTCTCTTCGGGATAGTAGGCGCCTTGTCTCTGGCGTCTATCGATAGCGTTCCCGACGACTTGGTCGACAATGCGGCGGTTTTGGGAGCGCTCTGCTTAATCACAGCATTGGTCTTCATCGGAGATTTGCTGATGAGCCCACCTAGCAAAAAGGACAAGCAGGACGAGGCGCGAATCATCGAAAAAGATTTAGGTACGGTAAACGAGTATTTCTTTATTTTACACATTTCATCCAGAAACTGCAAAAAAATAAAGATACATTATTTAAATACTGTAAAGAAATTTTATTGCAAAATTTGCTCCATCTATTATACTAAAATAAATAGTTCATTAATTCTATTTATTTTTCTAAATTGTGACATGTTTCGGTATATTACAGGAAAGCGAGTAGTGCCAATAGTGACTACCGAGAAAGACACGAAGCCGAAGTCAAAACAAACCGTCGTAAAACTTCCGGACGACGAAGACGGTCGCCTGAACGACGCTTTCGAAAAGACAGACGATCGTCGCTTCGATCGTGCGAAGTCCCAGCAAAGCCCATCTGAGAATCGTTCGCCGGACTCTCGTGATGATCGAGACAGTCGAGTATCTCGTGGCGATCAGGATCCAAGAGAAGACGCACAGAACTTCGAGAACGGCCGAGCTTTGCGTGACTCACAGAGATACCGCGAGATTAAGACCCGATACGATCCTGACCGCAAAAGTGAGGAGTCCAGGATCATGTACAGAAGTCAGGACGTCTATCAGCGACCAATCGACGAAATCGACACGCCACGGTTTCCGATGGAATTCGAGAAAAGAGATTCGACCTTCGCGAAAATCATCAATCCAAGTGTGAAGATTATGAAAGTTGAGCGAGATATCGAGGAGGCGCTGGACAATTACAGGTGATTTGTTGAGTCCAGGTTGAATTGGACCCCGTCACATCCTTGGCTCGGAAATTCCATTTAAACATCAGCACACACATTCACACACATTGCGTGTGTCATTTGTTTCAGATTATGATATAAGAAGCAAGAGAATCTTCTATCCAAAATATCCAAATGATTACCGCAATTATTTTAATGATCATCGAGAAAACTAATTAAAAAAAATCAAATAGAATTAATAAAAAAAAATTTCTCGAGTTATAATAAATTACAAAATTTGAATTATAAATCTTTACAATTACAAGAACTAAATTTAGAATCCTTCGATATTTCTTCCTATCCTCCCGATTAAAAAAATATATATATATTATATTTATCGAAGTAAATGTTTACACACACAATCCGTGTAATATTTATCTTGAGAAATCAGAAACTAAAAAAGCACTGATTATTTCCCTTTCTATCAAGGTATGTAAAAATGAAGATTCATTTAGGTAGGCATAAGTTGATAAAAATTGCTTGCATAAATTTTTCGCTTCTGACGTAATTAACGATTAAAATGCTCGATGCATGTATAGTACCGACTCTATAAATATAATATCGTTTGAACGCGAGCAGATATTCGGACAACAGCCAGTACGACAACGTACCGGTCAGGATGCGCGGTTCATCTGGGATCTTGAAGAGTCATCGCGACGCATTTTTCAACGTGCCCGCTCCGCCTAAGGAGTACAGGTCCTACAGAGGACAGGAAAGATCCAAGGATGAGATTGAAATGCTGGAGGAATGTTTCGGCGTGTTGAAAACCACCGGGACGCAAACTGCGAGGATACCGTCTTCGGCGAACGAACCGGGATATGTCCGGCACACAGCAAGTAATTGGCCACAGGATGCCAAGTCGCGAGCAAGTCCTGATCACAGTAGAATTTGACTCTTTCATGACTAACGAGAACTCTTGGTTGCATTTATTATTCGTGACCGTAAGCTTATTGGAAATCTGCCAGTTTAGTGGAAGTATATTTTCACATAAGATAATTAATTGAAACTAAACGTTTAGTTCAGTCTTTACGTAAGACAATTAACTGATAATTAACTGAAACTCGTCGAAAATCTACATTTATTTTTATAGCACTTACTCTTTGCTACCTATACATAACGTTTATCGAAATTTTTTACAAGTTTTTTAACTATAAAATGAGATTAAAGTGATTAGGATGACATGAGAATTGTCGTATTGTCTAATATTTGATAATACTATTACATATGGAAATTTATCAGTTAAGAACAAAATTGATTGACGTTTAAAAATACATTTCACCAAGGAAAGGCATGAAGCTTTTTATGTTTCAGAATAAAAATCAGATATCTATATCGGGAAAAATAAAATCAGAATTTGTTCTACCTATTAAGTACATGTGCAATGTGCCACAGTTAACACTTATATGCAGACAATAGTTGTAAAATATATTATAAGGATAGCTATCACAGGACTGCAATAATCTCGACATTAAATAAACATTTTTCCGTCATCTTTGCACATATCATTAATTCGTATACTCGATGCTTTTGAAAATATTATTTTGCAGACCTGTGATAGTCGGGAGTCAACGAGGAGTATAAGTCAGAATATAATAAAAACATCTTTTTTTACACGTACAAATTTCAATATAAAGTTAAAATCTTCATTCACATCGTACTTCTATATGCATACGTACAATTATTATTAATAATTCTCTGATGAGAGAGATAACATATAATCGCTACGTGTGGTTAGTCTTCTGCTTAACACTCATCAGACATGTATTAATATTAGCGTCACACCGCCACGATGGATGTAATCTCTGTTCACTTGTTCAGACGTTTGTGTTTGTTTGTTTGTTTGTTTGTGTGTGTGTGTGTTTTTATGAAAAAACTGTAATATAAATAAATGCTATACAAGTCCATCGTTTTACATCATGATCAATATGGACGGCTTAGATACTTGAGCATTCGTTTCTCCACAATCCTTCCTTCCAACGAATCCTACTAATATCCTTGACAACAGATTAGCAGTACCACAACGGCGTGCTGAAGTGGACATTATTCTACTTGGTAAGATACTTTATGCAATACCATATGCAGTATAGACATTAAGGTTGGTAGACCTTCTACACAGTCACGTTAAGGCCGGTACGTAATGTAAACTATTGATTCCACAATGTCTTTTCGTTAACATTAACGGCCGATGGTCTTAATCTAGTTATGGCTCTGCGATTTTATTCACTCGAGCCAGATATCGGTCGTGAAGGAAGGATGTTGCGTAACGAAGAAGCTTATCTCATGCCGAGACCGATACCGGCACCTTGAGCGTTAGACGTTCTTTGTTCCATAGTTATATACTGCCTGATCAGTCGGGAGATTTCGTGAGCCTGCTCCGTCTGCAATCTCGTGATACGCTGCTGCATCAGATTACCGCACTTCATATCGAGATAAAGCGTGCCCTCCTCCGACTTAACTTTTCTAGTAGAGATTACCTCGGAATAGGGGTAATGGTATAATGTTTCCTGGAATTGGAACATTTATGTTAGTGGCGTTAATATGTGTATAATTGGATACAAGGAAGTGTTAAAACATTCTTCGAACTACTTACATGTGTTATAAGATCAATGAAGTGCACTCCATGTCGATTGAGAGCCAGAATATGATCGGCACCCTTCTCTTTGCCTTCGGGTACCCTCTTTACTGCAAAGAAACTCGAGCCGAAAAGTGGCCACTTGGATAATATTTCTAAACAAAAAAGAAGAAAAGGTTGTCAGTATATTTGCTGTATAAGTTCCCTAAAATTTTCATAAAGTTTGTTAAAAGTATAAGAATAATAAGTTAAAGTATAAGGATAATAAGTTATAATAAAGTCAAAAGCTGATTCAGTGAGATAAAAATCTTTCGGCGAAACGTAACATCGACTCGAGACATTGTTGAACTCACCGAGCACCTGCGCCTTGCAAACGGCCGCCGAGGAATGTTGAACGTTACTCCAAGCTTGCTGAACCATATTAGACCATTGTTGTGGCCTGGGTTCTCTCAAACTAAGCGCTGGTTTTGGCAATAAGTATTTAATCTCCTTCGTCGCAGGCTCGTGTGTCATGTCAGCTGCTCTATGCAGTAAGGCCGCGATTTGCGCCATGTCATACTGCAAGGTACGCTCGACATTAATCGATCATTTATCATTTGTCTCTTCAGTGAAACTCTCTTAGGCAGATGTTAGTACTTACGATTACTTCCTGAGGTAAGTGTTCTCCAGGTAGGACTAGTAGAAGTCCTTCTAAATAATCGGGAGCAATTTGGTTGAATACAACTTCTATGTACAACGCTGCATCCAGTCGCAAAGGATAATACCAGACAGATCTAAAAAAGAAAAACGACTTCTGTAGGAACGTCATAATTTCCGGGACGTTATATAAGCTTATAATTCCGCGCCCTCGAATATTATACCGACAGTCATATTAAATTCATTTCTAGGGAAGTCCAGGGCTAATTAACAAACTGAAAGTAAGTTTGAAATAAAATGTAACTATTAAAACGTGTGTACTCAATTGTCATTCAACTAACCATAGCACTTTTAGCTGTAGTCCTCTCTACTGTAGTAATTTTGTTACTTGGTAAAGATAAAGAGTTTCATGTAGATGTAAGAAAAGAGTTTTCATGAGAGAATTTTATGCATATCTACTTAGAATTTTTATACTACCTACATAAAAGATATCTGCTTAAAATTTGAAGGGGTATATGTAACAGTTTGAAGCTTACAGCGATGGGGACTACTGTAACTGTACCTGCAAAATATTAAATAGAACACTTGGTGATTTTTGTGAAGTTCCGTGGTCACGTCCAAGACGTACTCGTCTCTGGCTAACGGCATGGTGAACGCGTCACCATCGACGATGCAGTATAATGAGAACTCATCCATCTCGTGGGGATTTCTCACAGAGATGACGTTGCACATCTCCTCAATAACGTCCTGCACGACGGTCGTGCATTTCGTATTAATGACTCTTTCGGTACCGCCAGGTAGCCGATAAATTTGTCTTTTCGCGTTCCTGCCCGCGCTGATCGCCATGATCTCCTCGACGCTGGGCACATTCTTACGTCCGCCGTATTTGACAGTCTTCCTGAGGTTCTGCAGACAGACGGTCGCGGTGCCGTGATATGCGCGACGTTTGTCGTACGCTGCTGTCTCTAAGTATTTGGTCAGATAAGGCCTCAGGCCCTCGCTGCATGTGAAATAAGCTGCGACGATGCTGAAGATCCGCCAGCCCCGCTGGCAGCTCTCTGGATTCGGGCTCTTGTTATTGGTAGTCTGCTTCATCAATTGGCAGTACACCTCGTCGCGCAGCTGCTCGTACTTGTGACAGTGCTGCGGATACGCGAAGATACGGTTTTATAGAATATATCGGGACGCTGATCTCCGTTAAGAGCGTGAAGCGGAAGAATGGCAAGCAACTGTCTTACAATAGCAACGGAATCACATAATTGAGGATATATAGAAAAAGATAAAACATCAAGTAAGGTGAAACATCCACTATGCCAGTTTTCGATACTCTTGCATGGATTTTGTCAAGTGTTATAGTATATAGGGATGTATTAATTATTATTTATTATTTATTATATTTTTTAGTCTCCATGCATATTAATATTTGATAAAATGCGTGTTAAAAACTGGCAGAGCATTTTATCTTATCAAGCGTTTTCTTTTCAAGAACAAGACGATAAAGTCGGAAATGTGTGTTTTTTGTTTCCTTCATAACACGGTCTTACCATGAGAATAGTGTAGACACATTTGACTTCACTGGTTTCAGGCGGTAATGGCTGGTCTCCCATGTATCTCATCAGGCACAAGAAGCATTCCACAGCTAAGGCGCTCAGATCCGCGTCCAACCTGAGTAGACTCTGCTCGATGGGGACGGTGGAATACTTGACAAGGTCCACCTGTTCCTTCCAGGTCCATTCGGTGCCATCTTGTTGGCCTTTGCCTTTCTTATTCTTCTTCTTGCTCTTCAACGACTCGATTACTTTAAGAGAGCCGCTGATTGACCCGTCCGCAGTCTTTAACATCTCGAACCTGTCGTATGTACAAAAACGTCCGTTAATCTTTCCGTTCACCTGCATCGCGAGTGACAAGTAGACTGTCGTTCTCCACGTGAATACGAAGCGAGGAACGATGGAGGAAAAGGATACCACGGTACGCACACACGACCGATCGGTATCACGTCTACGTTATGCTTTTCCAACACGACTTGCTTGCGTAACAGCTCCAATAGTTACTTCGCATTAATTTTCATGTAATCGACAAGTTCGTACTCCTGATACCAACCGGGTTTTAGAAAGGAACGACCTCATTTAAACTAAACACTTTAGAGAACTTTAATATATATATTTTCTCAACTACATATTCCGAATGATACGTTTGAATATCTTATAAGCAAGATTTGGTAAAAATGATGTGATTTTAATTTATCTAAATATTTCTTTTGCCTAAACATTGTTTCATAAAGAAGAGCACTATTATTATTTCGGGAGAGACCCTATATTATTATTTTGGACATATTGACTTACTTTTCCGTGCTTTGACGGAAGTTCAGCATGGCATACTGCAACAGGGAGTGTTTGCCATCGTTGACCACCGTTCCGGTCTCGTAAATGCTGTCCTCCTGGAGTCTGACATTGTCATCCTGCTGCCGCCATTCCTGGCTCGGGCTGAGTCGCTGGTTTTGCTGGTTTTTCTGATGGTTTGCCTGATTGACAGCTGACACATGGTTGGGCACGCGACCAAGCGGCACGTGGTTCTCGTGCTCGGAAATTATGTGATTAGAATGGTTGTGAGGCTGTATGTGATTCGCGGAGGCGTGATTCGCCTGCGACTGAATGCTTTTCGTGATTTGGGACACGTGATTTTCGTGATGGTTAATTTTCTGGAGCGGCTTCTGATCGATCTGCAAGTCAAACAGATAATTCACATTAACGACATTAATTTTGAAAAAATTTCATCAATTAATTCCCTTAATAATAGGTAGATATCAGTATCTTTTAAATTTGTATTATGCAAAAAATACATGTATATATATATATATATTTAATGTTGACAATAAATTATAATAGAAATGATTTGACTTATTTAAAATTACAGAAGCTTATTATGATTTCTTTTGAGAAATCTATAGAAGTGCAATTCACCCTTCTGTATATATGGCTCGAGCTGCGCGAGTATCATGATAAGTGGTCTTCATAAGCTAGTAGGCGAATCTATTTTCCGCGCGGTTTCTCTGTTTCTCTATTTCCGTGTGTTGCTTGCATTTCCTCCTTTTCCCCGACGCTATCGCGCGGCGCCGACGGATCGATCTTAGCACGCGAGAAAACGGGTTTTCCCCCGCCTGCCGAGGCATCGCAACTTAGCACAGGAATGCGGCACAATAAGACCATCGGGTGTTGAAGCTTTTTTTTCAGCTTTAGCGGCAAAAAACGAAAAGGAGAAAAGTGCGTATCACGTAAATTAGTGGTGGCTTCCGCGCTACGCGCGATTTCTCGAGTTCTCCTGCCGTCATGGCAGCCGGATATCAATATCTCGACGAGAAAAGTGGGAACAGGAGTGTCTTGTTTTCCCGATAGGACACTCCTATCTCTTTTTAGCGATCACGAGGATTTTTGATAAAAGTAGGTAATTACATCCTGCAGTTATTAATAGGATCGATATACTAGTCGATCTAGTTGGCAACCTGCGGCTTCGTATACTGCGCAGAATTCCTTCTGCCTCGCAGATAAGAAAAGTTGATTATGCTCGTTAATAGATTTGCTTTTAAATAATTATCTATATTCTCCTTTTGCACATCTAACACCTTCATCATGATGAACTTCAAATGAAATGCTGTGCACTTAAAATGTACCAGTGTTTCATGATCGAAGTGCTGTTCTTCGCAAGGAAATAAATGACTACGCGGAATTCGACAATTACTTAATTTCACCCTACTTCCACCTTATGAAAGAACCAATCGTCATTCCGTTAGATAAGTCGCGTTTACGTCGCGAAGCGACGAGTGTGCCGATACCTTAGAATCGGCCGAGGAGACCAGAATGTGCGCGAGCGAGCAGGATAAGCAGATGTCGACCCTGACCCACATAATCGTTAATGCATCGAGACGCGACGTAAGATGTGTATGCGGTTGCTGTGCGTCCACGCAGCCATATTGATAACAAGCGCAACGGTCTAATGATTTCCGCAGCTATTATCGAGGTGTGACGTAAAGAAGACTGTGCAGAAGTAAATTGTAATGTAAAGCAGTGTGAATTGTGTGAATAGATAGAGTTGGGTGTGAAGAGACACGAACAGATGAACGACGAACATTGCGAAAACGAGCTGTATACATGAAGCTATATTAAGAAACAGAAATTGTTTTGCTTTTAACTTAGCGGTCGAGTCGATGAATAATTTAACACTTATGTAAGCCTTTAAATTCTTAACAATGAAAAATTAAAAGTTTTATATAAGTGGTAAGTTGTGTGTTCCATTTTACGAACAAATAATATGTAAATTCAAAAAATATCTTTGTGTGCAAGAAGTCTGTTAGAAATTCGAATTTCTAATTTCCTCGGCAACTAGCGATCAAGTACTGTACAGCTAGTTTGCAGTAGTAAAAATTCAGGAAATTATATTATTAGCCTTCTTTAAGGCTTCTCATTTCTGACTATCTCAGTATCCGGTTTATTAATCATGGTACGAGACATTCGCGGTCTATTTAGCGCCATCTATTTGATTACTCTTATTTCAACTCTATTAGCGCCGTCTATTTGATTATCTCAGCTCTGAATCTTAAAAATGCTGAGATTCATACATTTACCGATAATAATAGTAATAATAATAATAATAATAGACGTGACAGTTAGTATCATGACCTGGTAGCTCTTAACTTTCTCGTCTAGCTTCTTCAAGGTCTCCTGTATGGTATTTAGCGTCTTATCGTTCGTCTTCTCCTCAGCCTGGATCTCGTTTTGCGTCCTGAGCTCCTCAAACCTCTTCAGGATTTCTCGGACGCTCAGTTTGCTTCCGTCCGCATTTTCCTCGGTGATGGTCTCCATCTTCGCCATCTTGCGTTCACCGTTAGCTCGCATGATGATCTGCTCGCCATCGTAGAACTCTTGAATCATATCGTTCGCCTTTGGTTCCTCATCCTTCTGCTTCTCTTGAACCAGCTTCTTCTCTCGAGCATTCTTCAAGGCCGTCGTATTCTTGGGACTTCTTAACTCACAACCCTCCTCCATTCTGAGCTGCTCGATGGTCGGTTGGCGTTGGTTCATTCGCACGATTGGATTCAAGAAGGACTTCTGATCCAACCTGGACACGTCTATCCTGGGAATATTTTCGTAGTCAAACTTCTGCTGGCCAAAGGATTCTTTTCTAGAAAGTTCCGATCCCGGCCTGACATTTTTATTTACATCCAACTGATCGTGCTCCACCTTCTTCTTCTTTCTGCAATTGTCTTTCGCGAAGAACTTGATGAAGCTGTTCCTCTCCGTTTTTGATGTCCTATCCAGGTGAGAAGCCTGCTCCAAAAATGCCCCAGAATCGTCAGTGTGTCCGTACTCGTCGCTGCTCAGCTCGGATTCGGACGACTTCATCAAGAGGCTGTCGGGGGAATTAGTCTTGCGGTCCTCGTCGGAGAAGCTCTTTGCTTCTTGCCTACTTATGAAGTGACTCTTCTTACGATAGCCCAATTTTGAGTCTTGATTCACATAGTGCTTCCGATAATCGTCATCCAAATGACTAAAGAGATTTTCGGGTGTTGATTTGCGATCCCTTAGCATATCCTTGCGAAGATCTGAAATGTCTTTCCGGATGAGATCGGTGGTCTCCCATTTGCGCAAAAACTCAGAACGACGTACGATCCGCTGCACGTTGCTGAAGGCCTTCGGTTCAAAATTGTGCAGCTCGTTCTCCGAAGACTCGGAGTAGTCAGTGAATTGATTCAGAATATCCGGACGGTGTTTCTGCCGACGTCTCAACGTCGTTGGCAACTCGGCCCAGTTGCTGATGAGTCTCCTGGAGAACACTCCTTCCGTATCGGATACTTCTCTCTCCATGGCGATAGAATTGAGTGATGTTTGAGGACTCTTAATGGAAGGCATGTATTAATGCCAAGGAAAGTGGAGGTCGTTTCGCTTTGGAAGCTGTATATCTCCTGACAATGGAGAGACTTTAATGTTCTATCGTACACAGTATTACTACTGATAATATTATGTGTAAGACACAATCCGCAGTAACTTGCTTTCGTGTGCTTGTCAGTATCATTGAGCTGATAAGATCTGTATGCGAGACAGAACCTACTAATTCCGAACAATTGTAATTTCACTCGGATCTTCCGAAGGATGTAGATCACGGAAGAAGGACCTTCCGCGGAACGTCGTGAGAAACGACGAAGAAGACTCTCGTGGGACCAACTGAACAATACACTTTTAATTATAATTACCTCGCACCAACAAACTCTCCCCTATCACGGCGGGCGAGAAAGCCTTCATGCTTTCTTAGAAACGTCATGCCGATCATCACGATCATGACGATCCAGCATACATTTTTGCTTTTACCAGTTCCTAAATCTCAGTCGTATATTTAGATACTTCCAATGTTAATTACCTGGAAATACTGCTTTGCTAAATGACGATGAAACGAAAGTTCATCGATGAGCAATCGTCGTCTCGACGATCGTTGATACGTATCGACGTGGGAAGGGCGAAAATAACAGGGGATTGATCATGATGTTGCTTACGTAAGTGCGAACCCTTCCGACCTTACTCGCGCAAGATCGCTAACGATCGTGCAACCGCCATCGCGTTCCGTTCATCGTTGCGTAGTACACATCGCCGTTTTTACACGGAGCGTGAAAGGCAGATATCGATCTCGTCTGTGAGAGAATAATGGCTGTTGATTAACTATACATTCGAGGCGGAGAGCCTTAAAAATTAATGATAAGCCGCCATTATCATTATATTAACCTTGCTGGGCATAGTTATACGGTTGCATGACGCCACGTCGAAAGTTTCCCCGTAAAGTTGCATTTCTTAACGAATTTGTAAACAGCACGATTATCATAATTGTTCTCCACTAATGATATTTCACACTTTGCTACTCCGCTAAAAGTTTCCTTCAATAATGATCCACACTTCTCCAAAAACGTATGTATGTGTATGTCACTTTCAGGGATTTATGTAGAAGCTAAAGTTTCGATTTCTAACTGTCAAAAAGCCCAGCATTAATTTCATTTAGAAAAATCAAAAGAAAATACGTTTGTTTTAAGACCTTCTTGCTATCAAGCTCTTCTTCTGATTTGATTAACTATCAAGCTCTTCTTCTGATTTGATTAACTGCAAAAAGCAGATTAACCAAAATATGCACTGCTTGCAATCAAAGGATCAAACTTTACGATTTTCTTCGTAAGTATTTTTCGATTTTTTGAAATTATAAGTTCAATAGATAGAAAGACACATTCCCCGTGACTTCTCTTGCTTCGTTTGACGTTTCTTCTTCAAGAAAAATTTAGCTTCCGTCTCTGCAACGTTATTACTGCTTTCCGTTGGCTACTGTGCTCCTCGCAGCGATACTGAACTCTTGGCTCCACAAACAAATTTAAATGGACGAGCTCCCCCATAAAATGACAGCTGTTTTCGAGGGTACACCGGAAGGGAAGGTGTAGCGCGAGTGTTGCGGCTACACCGCACGGCACGACGGCAGTCGATGAACTGAAGAGCTGCGGCCGCAAGGCTTCTGATAGCCACCGTCGTTCCCTACCTGCTGTAGTCTGTTAGCTGATGCCTTCAGAAGACGGATATCTGGGTCGGGCCCCACCATCGGGGTCTTCGTGGTATGCGTGGCATACGCTAGCATGGAAAACCATGCTGCGCCGCTCTTACCGAAGAGAAGAGGATGCTCTTCATGCCGCTCGATCTTGTTCGATCGGAACGTACGTTCTGGAATGTTCAATGAGATGCATGTCGAGAAACGTTACCGCAGGAATGTCTTCTTTCTTCAGTAGGAAGGCATCCGCGGTGGCGAACAAAGTCGTCGGATAGAAGCGACAATTGTCTCTGAGTGGCAGCCTTTCCGTTCTCCGTCGATTAGGACGAAATTAAAATGCAGCGATAAAGTGAAAACAGTTGCCCACATGTGCAACTTGTCCCAGATTCATGGGACCTGTTTTTATCTGGATTTCTTTTGGCTCTTTAATATTCAACATTGAATATCTCCTTAATTAACTTTCCGCACGTTTAAACGTTAAATTTAATTGGAACGAAAAATAAGATGTTTTTGCAAGCAAATTCGTACTTTTAAGTTCTAATTATATTCATATATAAAAAATGAAATTTATATTCATATATGAAATATTTTCATATATGAAAAAAATTGTTTTCGATCATTTATAATTATTTATAATGTAGAAGCTAAATTTAGTGAAAAAAATCTGACAAGCCCCTACGTGTAGTATACACGTGGCAGAGAATCCACGGGACGACAATAGACGTCGCGAGCACAGCAATGAAATAGAAATCGGAACCGGAAAGGGGAGGAAAGAGTCGGAAGCGATAGCTCATTATACTAGATTATTGTGATTCACGGCTCGATGAGAGCAGTCTGCAAAATCTCCAATCCCACGCCCATCATGCGCGGTACGATTTCAATTTTCCTGTCTATTTCTCGTCTATTAAAGAGCAAAGCCGGAAAAGTTCGGAGACATAGTAATTTGGAGTTTTTTCGTTTTTCTTTTTTATTTTTAATAGACTGCGGAAGCATGTTTCGGAGTTCACACGGCTGTACAGGCGATGCACCTGCCGCTAACGCGTTTCCTGTGAGAAACTCGTTACCTGTGAGACCCTTAAAATCCGTTACCTGCGGGACCCTTAAAATCTGTTGCCTTTAATCTTTTAATACATTGTTCAGTATACGTATAAATATAAAATTTCTACTATTTTAGAGTTTGATTATTTACACACATTGAAAGTCGTGGAAAAAATGTTGATGGCTCCTTTTATTTTCGTAAATTTAGTGTAAAAGCAATTTCTGTTTCGTAGAAGTTTTAATTTTCGGAGCATTCCATTCATGGTGCCGAGAAACTTGAATCGATTTCCGTCTTCACACCAGTGATACTTTCTCGCATCGGGTTCGTTCCACGGCCCGCTTTGACATAGCAACATTTTTCTCGTACCGGTTCGAGGAACGAAATATTTTCCGCGATCCAGATTGCTTGAGAAATTTTTTGCCCACTTTTAGAAAGACCGGTCAAACGGCAGTGAATGCAAGAAAAACTCTCTCTGACATTTTCCATTTCTATGCTTTTTTGTTTCGCGATTTTAGTCACCGAGATGTCATGTGGAGTATTCAATGCATGAAGTAACGAAGTCATAAAAATTTGGAAGTCGACTCGGTGAAAATAAAACAATAATATTGAATTTTAATGTTTTACTAATTTGTGACTTTTCAACTTAAACTTTCAAGTTTTTAAATTGTCTTTTAACTTAATAATTTTCTCATATATAAAATAATGCTTTTTACATGAGGAAGATAAAAAAATGTTTTGAATTTTATATCATCTCGATAGATTTAATTAGAAGCTACATTTTCATTTATCTCCTTCCGTTATCTTACGCTGGAACCATAATTATCGTTGATTCTTGATATCCAATTATAATCAATTCCTCTGCCTCGAAAAAATCGCCACTTTAATTCTGCATGAAGTAACTTCCTCATTTGAGCAACAATGTGTAAGAAGCTAACAGTGTCTTTACTAAGCAAGAATGCATTTTTATCAGATTTATGCTTCTACCAAGTGAACTATTAATACGGGATAGAAACGTTTACCGTACAGAGTAGTGCATATAAAACCGGGAAAATATATTACGAAACAAGCTTTCTATAACCGTAGTTCCTGCCGTTTGTTGAGTATCTTAAGAAGTTTCAAAGGACGACGTCGTAATACGAAATAAAAATTTATACGGAACATTTTGAAGATTTCATACTTTTCTTAGAAATTCAAGTACGGAAGGACGAAGGGCGTAAAGATGAAGGGAATTTGGGCCAACGTGGCAGAAAGAGATAATGAACACCGGCAGTTGTGCATTAGCAATTCAAACCGCTTCCGGTGTTCGTGTTAATACGAGGAGGTGCCGCCTACGGTAAATGCGAGTTACTTGAACTCGGAATCACTCCAAAGAAATCCAAATAATTCTTACTTCATTTCCCTTTTTGTATTATCCTCTATGCTACGAACAAGATGCAAAAGAATAAAATAAATGATTATTGAATGATTATAAAAAAATTCTATATATAACCAAACTAGTAATAAAAATATCCTTTTCACCAGATTTTCAACTTTTGAATGTCAAATAAAATCCACTTAAATAAATAGTTAAATAATTAGAAATAGTAAAAAATATGAAGACAATGAAATATAAAATACTAAAAGAAAATCTTGAGAAAGAGGTAGAACAAAGAGTATTAAAAAATAGCAAAGTATTGTATTCTTTTCTTCAATGCAAGGATTTCTTCTAAAAGACGTATATGACAGACGTGGAGCTATGCGACTAATTAAACCGGTTTTCTGTGACTAACGTCATTTGATATTTTCGCTTCACCGATGATTCCTTCGCGCGAAGTAATGTTCTCATGAATAGTGAATCGCGTATTTTTACGATAGACCACTCGGAACGAACGACGAGCCATACTGCGCGGCATTGTATTGCATGCCTCCGTTCCGATCCTTTGACATCATTCCACAGACTATAGATGCCGCGAAGGGACATTTGTCCATGTTTTTACTGTCACTCGAGGAACACAGACACGCGATCATGTAACGCACTTTTCTTGCTGTTACATAATCCGCAATGGAATTCGAAATTGCGTGCGTGCCTTATTAACCGTGTTACGACCTCGATTAATAATTACTCGAATCAAGTATAATAATGCCAATAGAAGGTATAGCGAATCCATGCGTAACTTCCCTGCCAATGATCGCGATGTGAAAGTAAAGAAGATCGAAGGTTTAATGCGGAACGATTGCACAGGAAATCATGGGCTTTAAATTATCGTCATTATTGAAAGATATAGATTTTCATTTCCAGTTATTGGCACATGGCTGAATGTCTCATTATAGCAATCAGTAGCACATTATTGAACAAATACGCGCTGATGATGTGCTTCAACAGCGTTGTGTCCTGAATTGCGCAAGTATTTTAATCTGCGCGTTATTGATCTTACGTTATACATCCAACTCTCTCTCTCTCTCTCTCTCTCTCTCTCTCTCTCTCTCTCTCTCTCTCTCTCTCTCTCTCTCTCTCTCTCTCTCTCTCTCTCTCTCTCTCTCTCTCTCTCTCTCTCTCTCTCTCTCTCTCTCTCTCTCTCTCTCTCTCTCTCTCTCTCTCTCTCTCTCTCTCTCTCTCTCTCTGCCTCCTTCCACAAAAAAATTAGCATCGTCATGAGCGCTCTTGATCCGTGCCATCAAGGTGAAATCTTTAATGACCGTGCTCAGAAAAACTCAGCGTTGCTAGTAACAACTCTTTTGCACCTAGCTATCGATATGTCTGACGGACGGGCGAACGTCCGTCACGCTGAACAATCCGCTTCTCGAATCGCGTGTGGCGACGATGCATGCAGGTGCATCTGCTGGACGTGCACTGCGCGTGTTATGAGAAATCCGATCTCTCCGCTTGCACAAGACGTTCGAGACGGATTTCTCTCTCTCTCTCTCTTTCTCTCTCTCTCGAGCGCAAAAAACTCAAGTGTTTCGTGGCCGTAATAATTCACCTAGAATCGGTGTGATTAAGGTTCCTGGGATAAAATAGAGTGGAGGAATGTTTCCTTGAAGTACGACTCTTATGTGCTTCGATATAACCGCAATAGGGCGTAAAGATCACTATAATCAAATGTTTTAAGTTGTTTTCGTTGTAAAATCCATAACGACAATAAGGTGAATACCGATGAAAAGAAAGTTAAAAAGAAAGCGAAGAAAAGCTTGTGTCAGGAAATCGATATTAATGCGCGGAATTGACGTAGTATAATCGTCGAGGACGATGAAGTACACGAGAATGGAAGTATCGAGTGCGGCGTCGGTAATGGATCGCTAATTCCGACGTTCACCAACGGCGGAAAAGGGGAGAGATAAAGGGAGAAGAAAAAGAGACGAAGTAGAAGGCATTGGCCAGCACATATGACCACTCACTGGAAACGCAATTTACACTAGGCGTTGTCGGCGGTTGCCTCGTTGTGGATTATGAGGTATACCGTGCCGTTATAATTCCTGCGCCGATCGCTAATTGGTCGTGGACGAGCGCGCGTGGTTCGACCACCTCTGGAAAGGATGGATCGCGGTTTACTCACCAGTCTGATGTATCTGCCGATCATCTCCGCCAACTGCGGTGCGCGATTCGTGTGCAAGGGCAGCCTGACTCCCGAAGCGACCTGCAGAACGCATACGCCGGCTCTGGAAGAGTTCACGGAGACGATGTCCTCCAGCGGCAGAGTCTCCAGGATTATCAGATCCCCGTTAGCCGTGCGTTTGATTAATCGAAGTCCATGATGTGATACTGCCACATGCTGTGTCTCTGGATGTTGCGGGCCGATCTGTGGAGGAATTCGAATTAGAATTAGCGAGATTTAAATGGCGAAGTCAGAATAACGTTCAGGCCATTTTTCTCATTCAATCAAGACGTCCAACGGATCAAAACACTCACTACGGTCGGCTTTAAAGAAGATACAGAAATGAACTTACCGACACGGGGAATATCCTGGCGAAGTACAACGGCCATTGCTTCGCCATATCCACGATGTTCTTCTTGATTGTGATCTTGTGTTGCGTGCTTTGGAGATTGTCCAACGTAACGCCGTAGTTATCTAACATCTTCAGCATGTTTTGCCGATCCTCCTTGGTGATTCTTATGCTGGAGGTCGCCAGTACATCGTACGCCACTTGGCAGAACACCAGATGCAACGCCAAAGGACTGTTCAACGTTTCATTGGGCGCGAAGACCTCTTTCTTGACTCTCAAGGTCCAAGTGACTCTGTTGTACGTGAAATGCGCGTTAGAAGTTTGCGGGTAGAGTTTGGTGTTCACTACTTCTTGGACCTTCTCGATCTCCGGCTTATCAGCCGGTGGTAATACCGGCTTGAGGAATTCCGGCCACTCTTCGATCTCAATCCTCTCCATCTTGTCAGTGCGATGTGTCGAGGCTACGCTCGATCGTCTGTCCACTTCTCGGTCCAACTTCTTGAAGCTTTGTCGTGCGACGGTAAAGGACTCCCTCGTGTTCGGCACGACGCCGAAGTCTCGTGGCGACGGCATCCCGAAGCTGTCTCGTGACTTGGGAGACACGTCTCGGGTCATGCTGAAGGGATCACGTTTAATATTTGAACCGTCGAATGCATATTTGGAATCGAAGATTTCAGAATTTAGATCGCGACGTGAGTCGAAGTCAGAGTTGTGGTCGCGCGTCGAACTCGCCAGGTCGGTGCTATCCTTCCCGTAGAAGTCCTTGGACTTGGTGTCAGAAGAGCGAGCTTTCTCAAAGTCATTTCGATAATCGTGATTGTCGCGTAAATGCTGCTGAGAGGCAAAGATGTCACGGCTTTGGCTGAACATTTGGTTCTTCGGGAAGTGATCGAACGCCTCGGAGTCAGGAGACGTGCGGAAGGAGTCACGGCTTTTTGGTTCGATCGGCGCTGGTGGTGATCGCGGCTGAGGCACACCGGATTGGCTGTAAACAAGTGAACCATTTTAAAGTTAATAGAGCGTTTAAGGAGATGCTGAACACTTTACCGACAGAGTAACATGACAGAGTAGAGTGACATTTTCTTGCAAAGGTTACTTATTGATATTACGTATTGATTGTACAGAATTATAAATGCTTTTACGCAATGAAAGTACATGCAAAAATAAATAAGAGCATTGCACAATATATAAAAACGAAAAAAAGTTTTAAATGTAGAATATCAAGCTGTCAATTAGCGTCATATTTGTTAAAAGTTCCGCAGCTTGTACATATTAAAATTATGTACGCAAATTTATTTACGCAATGAAAGTACATGCAAAAATAAATAAGAGCATTGCACAATATATGAAAACGAAAAAAAGTTTTAAATGTAGAATATCAAGCTGTCAGTTAGCGTCATATTTGTTAAAAGTTCCGCAGTTTGTACATATCAAAAGATACTCCAAACAGAAACATTTTAAAGAACATTGCTGTATTCGCATTTGAATTCAGAAGTTTAAGAATATCAGAAAAATTTGCAAAAAGGTTTCTATACATGGTTACTTCTATACATGGTTAAATTTTCCGCTGAGTAAAACAAAACAACACACATTTACGTAAATTCTGTGTGTATAAGAAATACGAAAAGGATAGCGTAATTAGTTAGTGACGATCATTTCTGCGTTATCCACATTGTTCGAGTTCGTCATCGACTTCAGCAGCCCCTTAAAGTTAATAAATAAGGAAAAACAAATTTCTTTTTCAGAAATTTTGAAGAGAGCTTTTTTCAAATTAAGTTTAAAATTAGGAGAAATTTTCCTCTCTTTTAAAGACAAAAAATTTTCTTTTATGCTAGTGCATTGGATTTCTAGTAAATTTTAATTCGGTTAACATTACCTGTTGCTGTAAACACTGCCACCCCTTGGACTCGGGGGTTGTGGCGGAGTAATGGGTGGTGGAGGCGGTACAGGACGTTCCATTCTCTCGATTTGTGTCCTCACAACCTGAGCTTGTGTCATCATGTCTGTCGTGCCTTTAGAAGTAACACTTTGAGTGTCATCGACAGTGGAAGAATAATCGTCCCATCTACCACCTTGAAAAATATTCTATTTTTTAGTACGCGAATTTTTAATAATTTTTTAGTATGCGAAATCAGAAAGTTTAATTACCTAATTGCTGTTCCAACAGGAGCTTTCTGTTGTCCTCTAAGCGTTTAACCTTCCCGTCTTCTCGCGGAAGAGCAGGTTTCTCAGCCGTCTTTGTAGACCTCACACTATGATTTGCCGTTACTTTTTCCAATCTCTGCCTCATCTCCGAGCTGAGCTTTAGCTTGCCTATACTTCCTGGCGATGGTCTCTGCGCGCCTATGTCCAAAGCCGACCTGTGAAGAAATTCAGCTAATCGAATTGCTGCTCTGTTTTAAAAGTAATAGAAATATGAGGAGTCTAGTGTCAATTACTTCGATTTCTTCTTCTTCTTTTCGCCTTCCTCTTTATATCCGTTTTCGTGTTTAGGCGTACTCGCTGGTGGATGAGCGACATCATTGGTAACAATGTTCTCGATCTCAAATTCTTCCCATTCGACGCCGCCTTCTGTTGCTGGTTCACCTTCACCTTGGTCATACTCCTGATATTGTGGAGTTATCTTACGTTGCTGTTGCTGTTGGCGCATTTTGAATTCTATAAAACTATCTTGTCCTTGATTTTCATTGGAGTCGCTCGGCGGTGGCCACCTAAGTGCGACATCGAAATCATATAATCACAAAATTAAAACTTAGTTACAAAGGAATCAGAAAGTTCATTGAATTTATAAGAGTACCTAATAACTCTTAGGAAAGCTAAGTCTTAGGAAAAGAAAGTTTGTTATTAACTTGTGAGAGCTTGGATTTACCTCCACTTTCCAATACGCACAGTCTTCGCCCTTCCGTATGGATCGAGGAACGGCCTGGACTCCGAAGGATCATGGGATTCTAAAGGCGGGGGCATCGGCGGGGGTGGTGGGACACCTTTGTTATTGCTTGAACTTGAGAAATTGCTATCTATGCTGCTTTTCCTATTCTTCAGCTCGCTGAGCACATTGGTGAAGTTGCTTTGCACATTACTCTTGCTCGAACTGGTTCTTTTCACTTCCGTTTGTCCCGAGGATGTCTTCCTATCCACCACCTTGCGATCCACACTGATCTTTCGTGCGTAATCTATGCTCGTCTTCCGGGTGGCTTCGGAATTCTTTCTGAGTGGACTTTGCGATCTGTGAATTTGCGCCTTCACCGTCATTGTTTCCTGCCGTTGACTCGTTGGCGTGGATTGCAACGGTGTTCCCCGTTTCTCCGTGGACCACAATTCACCGTCATCGGGTTCTCTAAACGAGACCTGATCGAAGAAAGATCGGATGAAATAAACAGTGCCTTTGCACCAAAGTTCGTTTGCAGTGAAATTTGCACGCGGGTCAACTCGAGATTAAAACGTTTACTATGGGAAAGGGCTATGATGATCCGGTGAATGATACACTGTCTGTTCCGGTTGGCCCTAACACCGAACATCTCTCCCTCGGACTCTGCTAGCCGATATGTACACGATACTTCTGTAGTTGTTGGGAAGCCACGATAGAGCGTAGGTTAGTTAAAATCGGTAGATACCTTGGAGTAGCGTCCGATAGAATCATTGGGCCCCGTTTGGGCACCGATTGGGGGGGCTGGGGGGACAAGATTCATGCTTGAGGGGCCAGCGGGTAACACCGTGCTCTGGAAACACACACCCGTGCCGCGACGCGGCTCAGAAACCCATAGGATCGTCCAGAACAACCATACTTCCGTTAAGAGTTAGCTTTCATTAAACGCGCACATTAATCGGTTATCAATTAAGGATCATCGAGTTAATGACAGTTACGTGATCATGAAACGTGACACTGAGAGCCGCGACGACGGCGGTGAACCTTTTGTGATCGTCCTTGACATGCAGGTTCGCACCTCTAATCTTCTTATCGTGGTTCAATATCGAGGAATATCAGATTGCTTCCTGAATTATCCAATCAGGTCTCTGTCAAATGTATCTAAAAAATTTCTAAATATCTAAAAAACATCTGAAAATTTTTTTTAAATTTTTATTACGCATTTAAAAAATTCGAATTTTTCTGGATAATTATGTTGACTGACTTAAACAACTCGAAACACGATAAGCCGATCTGATGCTGGCCAATTACATAAACCTAGGATATTAGACTTTGTACAGATTTCTCTTATCGCTTTTCTTATTAATATCTCACCGGCTGCTGTGTTGAGTTCTGCGGGCTCTGGACCAGCAGCTGCTGCAAGGCTTGATTCTGCGCTAATAGTTGCTGTTGTATTTGGATATTCTGCGCCATCGCGCTCTGCAGGAAAGCCCGTTGAAGGTTCTGCTGGTACGCCATCATGTCGTTGTTTTGGTTGGGCGGTGAGCTGGGATATTGCGGCAAGCTGAGACCTTGCATACTGTAGATTGGGATGGGCATGAACCCTGCGCCCATGCTCATGTTGGTGCTCTGAGCAGGTGGGACTTGTTGAGCGGGACTGAACATGGGCATCATCATGGGTGGCGACATCATACTCTGCGCAATAGGACTAAAGTTGAAGGCCGTGTTCTGATTAGGAATGTCCATATTGCCACCTCCTTTAATTCTCTTCGATAATTCACTCGCGTTGATGTCTATATCACTATCGTCTGTCATCATTCTTTCGACGAAGTCATCGACGGTGGCTAGTTTGACAGTTCGAGGATCAATTTTCTGCACATTCTCCAGCACTGTTTGGCTGCCAGATAATTTGGTGTTTCGCGAGCCTTTTATCGAAGCGGCTAAACTACGGGCATCCGACAGTTCGTCAAGGTTACCGTCCAAAACCGGCATGAAGAGCTCGTCCAGGAACTGGTCTACGTCGGAGGCCTGACTGGGCACTCGAACGCGGCGCACATGCGATGCCAAGGATGGTGCCTCGCTGGTGTCGGACATAGCTGATGATTTCACACCATATTCACTCTTTTCGATATACGCGCGACTAGACTGGCTCCCTGGCAGCGCGCGTTTGCCTGAAAGCAAGAGAAATGATCGATCAGCGCAAAGTTGATACGGAAAAATGCGTTGCGTAATCGCTGGGACTTTCACTGCCGCGTAAATTCTGGGAGTAGGGTTGTGCAAGAACGAGTTAAGTAATGAAAGCGAGATAAACTTCGTGCCATTGGTGTACGCATATGATCTCTTCAAATCTTGCGAGATCTTCAAAGGAAATATTTATTATTATCTGCTCACCGGGATATTGTGACTTGATGAATCTGGTCTGCGATCTAATGTAGCTGCTCTTGTCGTCTTCCGATCTGCCGGTTTGACTGACGGACTGGATGTCTGGATACTCAAAGTCGATGGTGAGATCCTCCTCCTCAACGATGTTGGGCTCCGTCGTCCTTGTGATCCTGCTGTACTTCCTCTCTTGCGTGGCTTCATTGCGCGTCATGTATTCGACATTGCTGACTGCTGAAGTCTCACCGATTCTCTCCAGACTGTGATATCGCTCATTCAATTTAGATGAGGAGAGTCCAAGATTGGCGAGCTTCACCGGCGAAGGTACGACCTCCGGCTGAAGTAAGTTGTCCAAACTTCGGCTGCGCTGCTTTTCCTTCTCGAAATATCGATCGTTCAAGGCGGATTTCCTCGACAATCCTGTCTCGATTGTAGTCTCCAAAATAGCTTCATGTGATTGCTTTCGTACCTACAACAGTATCATATTTTTAGACACTCAAATAATGTCTTGGATATAAGAGTAATACACGTTAATCTCTGATTAATTAAGTTTTACTTATGAAGAAGGAACAATGTAATTAATTAGATTGATACATACGGGTGGTTTGACAACAGGTGGTTGCGGCGGAGGAACAATCGGCCGCCTAGGTGTCTGAATTTCTGGTTCAACGGGTTTGTCAACTACTTTTGGCACTGTTTTTCTTTCCAAAGGTTGGAAGGTCTTCAGGACCGGGATTTCCATCTCTTGTTCCAACTCTCGAATTACCTGGGCATGCTAAAGAAAAATACATTATTAGTTTAAAGATGAGAAAACCCTAATTAATTTCAATTATCTTCTCTCATGAATTTTTCCTGGCTTAAAATTATTTTATAAGACTCTTCTATTATATTATTTACAGCCAATAAAAAAATTTTCTCACTTCTCGTTTCTTTATAGGTGGTAGACTGTTCTTGCGTTGCTCCAAGAACATGTGTTTGGCGGCTGGGAAAGCTGGTGCCAACTCCATTTCCGAGATTAAATCCAAAACATAGTCGAAGCCATTGGTTTCCGTCACGATAGCGTCTGGACCGTCCAGTTGGTTCCAGAGCGTGATGGTCCAGCCATTGTTTTCCACCCCGTGATTCTGAATTGCGAGATTAGCCAATTCTTCGCATGTTGTCCAAGAATCAATCGCGCAGGTAGTTGTCTCGCCTGTAAAATAAAAGATATCGACTAACTTTTCTCTACAGTGTACTTGATTGTAACGAATTGGGAAACAACTTACCGTCGTAAAAGCCAACGTTCAGCGCTATATTTACACGATTCCTGTTAGCCCGCCATTCTAAGACGCACGGCGGGTAATTCCTGGGCACTTGATGCACCGTTTGCTGATTATTATTCATCACACGGTACACCGTTCTTTCGCCTTGCAGCAGCTTGCGTTGGCAGTAGGCTTTGTAGCCGTCGTAGGCGTGATCGGAGACGTATCTAATTGAGGAATTTTAATTAGACACAATCTCTTTATAATGACGCATTCGTCCGGTAGAGACGAGGACACTTACTTGAGAAAATACTTGAAGAGGGTACCACTGGGTTGGAAGGCTGACAAACAATTGGAAAGCAGCAGCCATCCTCTTTCTTTGTTCGCGTCGTTCTCATTCTTCCAGGTTTGATTTGCCAATTGGCACAATATCTCGTCCCTCAGCTTTTCGTTCACGATACCCTTGTTAACAATATAGTCACCCAACGCTTGTTCCCGCTTGCCGCTGAGATTGTTCTCGTTCATAAAGCGCAAAATCATTTTGAAGATCATCAGAGAGTCCGTGTAATCTTGGTCACGAGCCTTTGCTAGGAACGGCGTCTTAATCGGCTCTCGTTTCATCCCGAAGATATGGCTCTTGAAGTAAATGTTTGTAAACTTCGAGAACTGGTACTGATCGATGTCAGATGGCAAATTGAAAGAGTAATTCATTGGGACAACTTGGCCGACGACTTTGAGGAGATTTCTCTCAGTGTGAGTAGGTTGCCAATCTAGAAGTTATAAACAACGAGAAAGTTCAATAGATGAATGGATGATGTCTGAAATACTATAGAGTATTGAATAAAATTTAAGAAATTTATATAATTTGTATTGAATAAAATTTTAAAAATTTAGATAAATTGAATTTATTGAATGATTAAAATCTAGAATATTTTTATGATATTTCTTAAGAGTTTATGTGATTTCGGGAAGATCCGGCAAGAACGTACCATCAAGTTTGCTATAGATAAAGGCTAATTCCGCGGGAATTTCCAAGTGATTGACGCCAGCAACAGCCCGCGATGTTCTCTCCTGTTCTTCCCGTTGCTGCTTCGCCTTCGCTCGCTCCTTACTGGCTCGTTCGATTTCCGCTCTCTTCGTCATCTCCTCCTTCAACACCTTGAACCTCTCTCGCTGTTTCCTACCTCGATATAATTTCTGCGCCATCATAACACCCTTCTTCATCGCGCGGAACTGTTTGCGCTCGCGGTAACCACGATACACTGCCTGTATCAACACCGTGCTTCGAGAAATGTTGAGGAATCTTCTGCGTGCTAAGAAGCCTCTCGTGTATCTTTGAACCGTGATGGCCGCCCTTTCCAAAATCAACGCTCTGTTATATTCCAAAGCTCTCTCCAATGATTCCCGCAGGAACACCCTGGTAAGACCGAGCTGGTACTGCGACTGAGCCTCTTTCGGCGCTGCCTTGCTCAAAATTATTCTGCAAAGCTCCTTGTTGGGTGCTCCTCTTGGCAAATGCGTCGAGACAAGATACCGATAACGATCCACAAAATGCCCGAATAAGAGACGAACTGGATAGCCAGTTTTCCTGATGCGGATCGTCTCCAACATTCCCGTGTATCTCAACTGTTCCAGCACACATGGCATGTCGAATTTCATTGGTGCTTTCTCAGTGTTCGGCTTGATACAGCGAACGAACCATGGATTACATTGAGACATGGAATCCAAAAGCTGCTGGAGACTGTCGTGAAACCGAGCCGAAACTGTCGGTGTTCTCGGCTTCATCGTGACGAATCTGCCGTTCGGCTTGTTCATCGTTTTGTTGGCCTCATGAGTATTTCTAACATGTTGGAACATCTTGCTAACCATCGAGATCTTACTGCTGATCAGTAACTCGACTACATCCGGCCTCAGTGTATCTCTGTTCTTATCCAGGAAACCTTCCACATTGTACCAAACTTGTCCAGCGTAATGTCTGATCGCGAACTCGGCCGAGTTCATCCTAGGCCTCGAGTACAGTTCACTCAGTGCGTGATTGTAGTGGCACTTCTCCAAGAAGGAAAGATCCGTCGCCTTGGGGAAGTTGCTCTCGTCGTCCAGCAGGTGAAGAATGCCCACCGGTTTCTTCGCTATCAAGTGAATAACCGGTAGATTGTCCGTGTAGTTGATGGTGGTCCAATCGATCTTCTCTTTCGCGTATTCCTGCTGCTCGAGCTTGAAGATGTGCTTGTTGAAGTAAAATTGCAAATTCTCGTTCGCATAGTTTATGCACAACTGCTCGAAACTGTTCTCCGTGAAATTCTCGAAGCCGAAGATGTCGAGGATCGAAATGGCCGCTGTCTGCTTGGTGCCTTTGTAAACGATGTGGTTGACGCGCGCTACCAGCCACGAGAAGAGCGAGCTGTACAGAGCTTTTGCGAAAGCGTCTCTGGCATCAAGAGCTTGGTCGATGTTCAAAGCCGTAAAGACTCGCTCGTTTCTAGCCTCCTGCGATAATAAGCCAAAGAATTTATGTTTTACTAGTTTGACTTAACGAGAATCTAAACAACTGAGATATATTTAGAAGAAGCCCAACTAATGTCTAGAAGATATCTAACAATAAATCATTCTTCTTAAGGAGCTTTACGTTTCTTAGACAATTGTATTGTTTGGAAACTCACCGTCGTCTTTGTAGTTAATGCTCGGATGATGCCATCGGAATTTACTTGAAGGAGGTGCGCCGCCCAGCGTATTTCAGCGTCGGAACCAACTTCCACTCCTTCCTGACCGTGCCTCATTTGCTTCCGGTGAAAGTACACGTTGCCCAGGTGCAATACACTAGCTAGAATTTTAAAGATCGTGTCTTGCTCCTCGGACGTGAAGCCCAGGACTTGCATGGCTGACAAGAGTGCCTTGAAATCCTGAACGTCACTTTTGCCGTCAATCTCACAGTTTCCACCCTGAAACAAACACGGAATATTCTTAATAATTATCTAATGGAGGTTATCTTCCTGAACAGTGAAGATATAAGGTCTCTTCACGTACCTGATTTAAATAAAAATACTTGTCCGGGGTAAGAAGACCATATTTATCCCTGAGTTGCTGGTCAAGTCCAGCCAAAAGTTCATAGAACACGTGGTAATTTCTCTCCTCTGAAGCTTGAGTTACTATTCTACTCTTTTCTAGCAGATATTGCGTTATCCTACCGCCTACGATCGCACCGCTGAGAAACAGATAAATGAAATCTCCATAATCAGCATCAACGAAACTATGACATCAATGTTCGCTCTTGTTCGCTCTTAACATTACTTACTCTCTAAAGTGAACCTCCAAGTACTTTCCAAATCGACTACTGTTGTCGTTTCGTGGCGTTTTAGCGTTACCAAAGCTTTCGAGAAGCGGCGTCGCCTCCAGAATTTGTTCGGTGACAAGATTGTTAGGTGCGCGATTGACTGCCGCGAGATATTGCATCACTAATTTCGTAGACTCCGTCTTTCCTGAGCCGGACTCGCCAGAAATAACAACCACCTGATTGGCACTGGAATTGTTGGCCGCAGTCACCTGACTATACGCGGAAGAGCCCACAGCGAATAAATGTCTGCAGAAAACGTTCAAATAAAATCGTTTGCTTTGGATATAAGGTTACAAGTTACAAAATTAAGTGCAATATGACCTTTGTGAGGTTTGTTACTTAAATTAATTAAAATATACGTTATTTAAAACATAAGGGAATTAATATATACTAACGGTGGAAGTGTTCCAAGGATCCGTCCTTCGTAAAGCTTCACTTGATCCAATCCGTAGATGTCGAACATTTTGTACGGATTCACTGCGACGAGGATACTTCCTGTGTATGTCTGTACACACAGATTCATTATAAATATAATTAACGTTATTAACGTTAACAGTTAATAACGAATAATTAGTAATAAATACGTACATAAATTAATTCTTTGTCGTAACGAATCTTCAAATTCCACAATAACGAAGCTTCGTTCAAATCTCTAAAAAATTTAATCGGATTGTTGAAGAAAATATCGAACATAATTACATATGATTCAGTATGTAGCAAAGAAGAGACTCACGTCAACTGGATCATATCTTCGACACCATTTTGACCCAAGTCCTGCCTGGGCTTTACTCCGTTCAGGTTCGTGAGAGTGAAGATTTGCGGCTTAAACACATTAATTGTACACATTAATTATTCGTTGCTTTTCTGCACAAAAGTCCAGCTTAGTCATATGCATTCGTGCAATTTTTGTGAACGTACGATTACGCTCGACGACGCTTTCCATTTGCAATTTTTAACAGCAAAAAAGGGTTACAGGGAACGTTCAAAAACGCAACTTTCCATTTGAAACAAAATTTGTGATCATTTTTGTCGCATTTTCTCGGCGTGGCCTGTGAGGAGAACGTCCGACAAAAAACGAGGATTCGTGCGAATTCACATAAGACGCGAGAGAGCCACTCACGTGAGACCTAACCGGATACCGGACCGTCTGCGTTTGCAGTTGCGATTCCATTGGCGTCGGTGACAGCACGTTGTTTACGACAGAATAGTAAGAGAAATTTTATTATTAATTATTATTATTAATTTTAATATATCGTTTGCTTTTTAATTTTATTTCCTCTTTATTTTACTATTGCTTTAACCGGAAAACGACTATGATAAACTCTATAAAACTGCATAAATATAATTTATATAAATATAAAAACATTAACATATTAAAGCGTTTTAATTATACTTATATGTTTAATAAACTACACATCAAGATTATAAAAAGTAAAAAAAGAAAAATATGTATTTTCATATTTACATTTTAAATTCATATATCTGAATTGTTATGGTTAACTGATAAATTTTTTTATTTGATGAAGCTTTTTTCATTGTAAGTATCGAGGGATGTCACTTCTAAAAGAGAAACATATATTCAACAAATTCCACTATTATATAGAAAGTAATTTCAGGGCATAATAAGGTGTTACTTGGGATAGGGAAGAATATATAACTTCAGGATTAATGACATATCTATGATCGTGTAATTCATCCGTCACATATAGGACTAAAAGAACAAGTTAGCATAATGAAATCTACATAATGAGCATCAAGTTCTTCAGGCGTTATTTTAAAAACAACCAGTGTGCTTTACGCCAATGTGCACCGTCATCTATAATGGGACACCGGTGAAGTGCAGTGCTGCAACTAGTGCACGACAATACGCATGGAGAACACAAAGCAGGCAGGCAGGAAAACTCCCCGTGTTGCTAAATGGCCTGCGGTGGGTGTCGGTTGCATAATGATGTGGTTGCCTGGTATTAATGGAAATTACGTTAACGATGCGTGTGAATAATCATCCGTCTCTCATTTCACTGCGCTGTTCGTGGGTTCTTTAAATACGAGAGACGCCCACACCAGGGAGATCGATGACCAACAATGGCTACAATTCAAGGCGCGGGAGCACGAACTTGAAATTCGCACGAGCGCGAAGGACAGAAAGGCGAAAAAGGTGGAAACCAGATTGAAACAGACGCGAGCACGACGTGAGAGTTGTGGCTCACGTTCTTGTTTAATGGATCATTCAAATGTACTGGGTGTCTGCTAGTGATCGAATAAAAAGTAGACCACGACGTTTCTTAACCAAAACGGGACAATTTGGCCTCTTGCAAATATTTGAAGAACCGTATTTCAGTTGCTCAAGTTTTTCGCGAATAAGATTTAGTCGACGAAGGATGTACACGCATTGGAGGATCGCCATAACATACGCTTGTTCAAAGCCATTTGTTACCAGCCAAATGGTGCGTTCACTAAAATATTGAATAATTAAAAAATCCGTTATTCAAGCTAAAGGAACAAAAGGAAAGTTGCTCCGTTTCACTTAATGAATTCTATAATCTGCTTTGCCGACGATCATTGCGAGACACCTTGTATAAGGTCGCTAGAAAGTCGAGAACCGACCGGCAGATTACTCAAATATCACGCATATTCGCGCCGTTTCTGTTTGTTTTGACGATTGCTTGTAGTGACCCGTCTGAAGCATACTTAACCTGTTGTTACCTAAATTGAATCGAGGTTACGGTGTTAAGTTAGCGTTGAACATTAAAATCGTGTGTAAATTGATAAATATTCAGATATTTTAGAGGACTAAATAATTCACAAGCTAAAATTAGAAACGCGACATTTATGTAAACGTTTTGGCGCGAAGATAGTGTCAAGTGGTCAGGTCGTCTGCATAGTTTTCATCCACAGTAAATGCAGAATAACCGGTTGACCGCTGCGCGGTCATGAGATAGCTGGGTGTTGACGAATAGAAGGGATCGTTTACATCGAAGTTAAATGTACGACCTGACCTGTCCTCTCTTCTAGTTATCGCGTTTTCCATCTGCTTCCCATAATTATGCGCGGTTAGTCTTATAGGCGTTAATTAAACGCTTTCTATCGAGACTCTCTTTACCTTGCCGGCGATAACCGCTTGCACCGAAAGTACATTGGCAGCTCGGTGATATTCCAGAACCTCGCCTGGCAGCACGTGGCCGACTCCAGGGTCGAACCACACTAATTCACCCTGCAAGTAACATAATCGCACTTGAAATAAAAGGTTCAGCGACATTGATAGCTAATTTTCTTTTTTAACACTTTATTAGAACGATAACTGCTAAACGCAGATATCTACTGTTTTCAATAATGTATTAAAAATTGAGGTGTAGGTGAAATCAATTCACATTATCCAAAATATTAAGCAGTAGTTTTGATTTTAATTCTAAATTCTCAATTCTAAAGAATGCGGCCAAATTTAACCTCATTTTATGATATATGCCCCACAATCGAAATCTTAAATTATTTTTTAATAAAATTATAACTATTCATAAATAGATTAAATATATGTAAGTATGAAAATGACACGCTTCACCATTTGGGAGAAGTGGCCTAAAAAGATATGTGTTCTGTCAAAGTAAATGATATCGTTAAGACCTTAGGAAATGTATAGGAAATATAAAAAATGGGAAAGATGGAAGTCTTTGTAAATAAAACAATACGGATTATAAGTGCTAATAATTATTATTAATTAAAGGTGATATTTTTTTACCAAGCTACAATTAAATTAATCGTCGATTAATTCTGTTGAAACTAGCAGAATTGATTAGTAGCTATTCGCTGGTCACATTTTTAGCTAAATTTTAGCAATCAATAGCTACAATTTTATTAAAAAATAATTTAAGATTTCCAAACAAAATGGGGCTAAAAACTTATGAGAGCTTGGCTGCTCTCTTTTAATTTCCACATAGCGAACGAGTTAATATGTTCATTAAGTTTGAATACTGTTGCGATTTTCGAATACTCAAACCGTTTTCAAGTTCCACGATGGAGAGCCGCGCGACACGGAGGACGTCTTCCTCTTTCCGGTACAGAAGCCAAATATCGATGACGACGTTGCGGGAGAACAAGATCGAACGCTATTAGCGTCGCTGAAGGCTCTGACGTGCGCTGGGACGTGCGTCGCCGTCTTCCTCACATAATTCGATCTCTCTTTGGTTTGCTTCGTCATTAATCCCGCGTTGGAGGCCCTTCGTTGCTCGTTTACATCCTTGGTCGAATGTCCCGTCGATGTCTTCCTTCCGATCTTCACATAACTTGGCAACGTCGTCGGTCTTATCGGTGTCCTCGGGTTCTCCTTTTGACCTTCCACTAATAGTCCACTTTGCGACTTCGACCTGCATCTCACCTGTCGCTCGCTGCTTGTCGTGAAGTCCGTTCGAGGATACCTACTGCGAGACCAGGAGTCTGTTCTTGAATTCTTCCTTGTTCTAGACTCAACGGAGTCCACTCGAGAAGACGCATTCGTACTCTCCGAATCGTGTTTCCGCACCTTGAAGTTACGTACTCGCTCAAAGTCTGCTTTAGAGACCAATATGGCGTCGTGCTTTACTTGGACCAATTCTTGATCCCGATCTTGATGCATTTTGCGCTCGAAGGAATCCGCATGATCGACGTTGCTGATTATCCTCCGCCTGGACACCGCTCTATCGATTGATCCTGGCTTCTCCTCCTGGTCTTGAGACACCTGCCTGGAAACCTTGCGCGCGACCTTCGCGTAAACGATGTCGTCACCGCTGGCATCATTTGCGTACTTGGATCGATCAGGCGTGTCGGGAACGGGATCCCGCAAGTGTCTAACGACTTTCGAAGTCTCGGCGCGCTCACCACTTGTCTTCGTCTTGGAGAACCTTGTCAGAGTGCTCAAAGACGTCGCGGAGTCGCGCAGGGACGTAACGCCGGTTGGCAACGACATTTTCCGCCGTCGAATCCTACCATAGATCGGCGCCTCCCTCCCAACGGACTCTCTCGTCCTCGAAGTCACGTACTCTTCCAGTCGAGCCGATCTCGAGGCGTGCAAAATCTTAGGCAAGGTCGACGGCCGCGAGAGATCGCGATCCTCCTTAGCCCAGCGGGCGGGATTCTGAATGTTAGAAGGTATCTTCGCCACGTCCTTCAATTGCGCTTCCGCACTTGCGCGTCGCCGCAGGATATCCTGCCGGGAGACTCTCTTCAGGAGCGAAGAAGTGTGCTCGGCGTCCTGGCGAGTTCTCCTACCGATTGACGGCAGAGTTCTCGGTCTCTCCAACTGTTCCTTCTTCGCGGAATTCAGTGGGATCTCGGTATCGTCCTTGACGCATCTGCGTCGCAGGATCTCTTTCCTGGAGATCGCCAAGCCGCGCGGCACGGTGTGGAAAAGTTCACGATCGCTGGTCGCTGTCGCTCGGCGATCCTTCGGTTCCTGCGACGACCGGACGGAAGTCCGATATTGCCTGTTCCTCGCTGCTTCCGGCGCGCCGCAGGAATCCGGAGCGGAATTCGAATCTGGGTCTGGGCCGCTGCCGCTCGCATTATGCAACGCGCGTCCGCCGCGGCCGGATAACGGTTCCGCGCTCGCGTAGAAAGCTTCCGAGGAGCGTGGCGAAAAGTGACTCCGCGAGGTCGACGATCGACCCACGGACCAGCGCCGTTGTTGCTGCTGCTTCACCGATCCTGGTGGATCCATGTTAGCCATCGCTGGCGAGAGTATATAGGCGATCGGCCGTGCGCTTCATGTGCAACGCATACCGGACGGATCGCTCACCGCTTACCTCTTCGCCGAGATTTCTCTCTTCGCGCGTGATCGCGCAGCACCTCGTTGCCGATAATGTCGGTGGCTTACGCACACTCTAACGCCTTGCGTGCCAAATTGACTGTACGTAAGACTGGTAGCAAGCGTGAATTCCCAACTATCATTAGTTTCAGAGCCACTCATCAATGGATACCAGCCGAAATCGAATTTATCCGTAGATTTCTTGGACAATGCTTCCTCTTTGAAAGTCGGATCTCTGTTTAAGTGTTTCCCATATGGGAGTAACACGTGTCTACGTGTTTATCTTCGCATACATCCGTCGTGTGTACATAAGTGACGTGGCATTAGCTGAATGTGTTACGGCGCGATTGTGTGAGTGCGGACACACAGTCTCGATTTCTATGGATTATGATCTCGGGAGATGTGAGGGACGTTCTCGTGTGTGTATCTCTACACAAGGATGAGCATGTGTCTGTCCTCAGTCTTCCAACCACTCCCGTGGCACGTGACATACGAACATTTCTCCGTTTTCCTTTTATAAATATCACCTGCGACACGATTGCGCTTTCCTCCGTTTACGGTGATGTTGAGTGTGTTTCGATTGCATTTTTCAAGCTCGCTCAATTTACATAATAGCCTCCTCGTAGAAGATGAGTGCATGCAACGTTTCAGGTCAATGCCCGCTGCACAACTCTCTCGGATGCACCGAAGTATCGAACACACACGACACATATCTTTCACTCGTCGCGATTGCTTCACATGAAGCTTCACATTAGTCACTCGTATAGTACAAAAAATTCCACGTGAAATTATCAATCGCTCTCTATGCAGTCGAATATTAACTACTCCTTCAGAAGCCACTGCTTTTTATGCTAATTATTAATAATTACTAAGCAACACACGCGCGAGGCTAATTATATATATAATGTTAGTAATCTTCCAATATATTTCAATATCAATTTTATTAATATATCAACGTATATATCGGTGTTATTTAATTTTATATTTAATTTTTTATTTAATAATTGTTTTTATTTTTAGTATATTCTATTACTAAATATTTTATATTAATTATCGAGCTCACTCTTTCGTACGTAACACATTGTTTCAACACCGTCTGTTACCAAACTGAAAGTAAATGGACGAGAGCACAACACTTCATTATTCGCACGAAATCGTATCCGCAACCAAGAAATAGATTCTCTCTTCGTTCCCAACTAAAATCTGCGGTAAAGTTGTCGATTGCTGCTCGTCCGTCAAAGCTTCAGATTCTTCTACCTCAGCTAACTTCCAATGTGCATTTTCATGTTCACCGTTTTCCGCTCCATGTTTCCTTCAACTTTCGAATCTGCTTGCAGCAGCCACGATCGGGCCTTATGAGGGAATCTTGTCACGATCGCGACCACGACCGCGACCTAAGTCGCTGGATGGGACCCGCGTCGTCGCGCATGTTGAATTCAGTCTAAGGAAGTTAGGAGGCCACGCGAGCTTCCATCGGGCTCATTGGGTCAGTTGGCAAAAATCCGTGCAGCTCATGCGGAATTCGTTAACGGTCTCTGCGATGTTGTCCTGAGTACCATCGATGCTCCTCTCCGTCATCCTTCGCTCCCGAAAGTGACGCTTTCGCCGGAACGAGCCGCTCGGCAGAAGCGCTCTTCCTTCTCTTCGAGGCTGAAGATGATAGCGCGATGCGGACTCTAGGATGTTCGACGCGGCACTGGAAGTTGCAGGCCTTCCTCTCCGCAACAATTGCCTCGCGTATGCAGTGGCGTATGCGTTTTTAATTGAGACGCGCTAATTAGGCCGTGCCAGGAAAGCGGCTCACATTTTCGATCAAATGTGTCACTCCGATCGTCACTGTATCGCGTTTCACCGTCTCGTTGCCTCGTTTACCATGTCTTTCCAGTCAACCGTCCGACTTATAGACTGCCGTCTAATGTATTTGCCTTCGGGCCGCTTCTCCAGCATATGAGAGGACGAAATCATACGCTACCGGCGCCAGTGGATCGAAACGCTTTGGGGTGGAACCAAGCGTGCCTTTCTTCTTATATAAATTACGCGCTAAATACGCGCGCGCACACGTACATACGTTGGACATGGGCTGCAGAAGCCGCAGAAGCGAAGGGAAGCGATTCTGCCTAGCGGCCGTGGCGAGTTGCAGAAGAGCGATAGAAATTGTCGATTGTGGTTGCGATGAGCGCAATCTCAAAATGGGACACGATTATCACGTTTGCCCCCGCCAATGCTGGGTTGATTCGTCGGTCACATTTTTTACATTCCTCGTCTACGAGGTGGCCCGGCTCTTCGTCGCTCATTTTCCTTATCAGTCCTTTGAACAATTCCAAGTCGTGATTTTTTTTCGTCAAGAGAGAGCGTATGAACTGTCTCTCTTGTATATTGTTATGGATTAACGAGTATATATAAGACCCGAGCACAAGCAGCAAGAGAAGCGTGGATCCATTTGTTAAATCTCTAACAGCTTCATGTCTTCATTTTCGATAATAGCAGTTATCTAATAATATGAGTTATTTAATTTATTTTCGTGAATGCCCCACGCTCGCGCCGTCGGAATGCTTCCTCAATTATTGCGTTCATTATATGCGATTGGATGCACGGGGAGCGAAGTAAAAGTGAGAAGCCGTCACTTGCCTAGCGCTCGCAATGCATCTGCATTCCTAACGCGCTCACGCAACAAAATTTTCAAATGCGCCTTCACATTGATTATATGTGGCTGCTATTAAGAGATATTAATCTGTGAACTCGGTATTGTTGCATTCAGTATTAGAAATGCGCAAGTTAATTTTGCAATCAAATTAAATTGTTAAAAATTTGCAGTTTTTAGATTTAATTATTCGTAAAATGGACGGTTTTAAATTTTTTAAATAATCAGTTGTTTTTAGATGAGTTTTTAGTTGTGTTAAAAATGCATAATTATATATAGGTAGTCAATAGTCGTGTTATCTATTTAAAATAGGAACGTTTTACCAATAAATAGCTTTTCGTATCCTTCAATGGACTGGCCGTTTATTGAACTAACCGTGTGTTTTCTAGTCGCAAAGTCGACGTCGATCGGCACGTTAATCGATCGTTGACTAGCAATGGAAGACGTCGGACGAGGCGTTCGAAAGTGGTCGCTACGAGCAGCAACGCAATTGCGTGTGCGCAGATCATTGACTCCGACCACGCAACGATCCCTTCGTGATCATGACTATGTAAACATTGTAACCTCGTGAAAATCACCAAATTATCGTTTGATAGCATTGAGAACTTGTGTTTTAGTAAACAATAAAACATATTTTTTTTAATTATCTCTTCGTATCAATCTCTTCGTTATTAAGGTTTTCACTCATAAGAAGTTTTGTTCATTCGTAGTATGTCATCCATAAATAAATCAATTGCCAAAAAGTCAATTACAGATGGCAAATGGTATTAGGATATTACCAGCAATTTCTGGTTCCGGATAACAGGGTACTTGGCTGCTTCGAGTGGCACGAGTATTTGAAGCGCATTCGCGAATTTAGATATTGAACAGATATTTGTGTACAGATAGTACTCAGTTTATGCTGAAATAGAAGTAACATCAACTCACCTTTTGCCACTCGGTATACATCTTGAAGCGACGTTAAATCGACCTCCGTGTGAAAGTATCCGGCATTTTGCACAATCGGCTTGTTCTGAAACAGAAAGAAATTCGACTGATTATTATTTGCATAAGACACAACCATCAAAAGTATGTCGAGCTTTCATTCTTAGTTTATTTTACAACAACAGACTTTATTTGGATACGAATTGTTTATCAATTCTCAATGCCAAAGTCATGGCTTGCGCATCTACCAAGAAATGATATGCCGATCGCATATAACGGAAAGAGCATCGACCAGCGACCAATTGTCCCTTTTGATTCTCGCAACTTCCGGCACAGTCGGAAGAATATCGATGACATGTTTCAAACTCTTTGTTATGACGACACTTATGTGTATATGTTTACTTACTCATACCTAATCGTGATACAAGAAAATCTTTAAACTCATTGAAGTTCTTACGGAGATAAGAAAAATCTAACTATTGCAGGAATTCAGCTAACACTAACACTGTTACATGTGCAGTGTTAGTTATTCTATCCTGTATTTGAAGAAATATTAGTGTGCGAGCATGGTATGATATCGATCATAATTGCACGTTCGGAAATATGGGAAGTGTCGCAATAAGTATTTAACTTCGCAAGATCGAGATATACACGCTCTCAACCACGCGTGTATCTATACTTTTATGACACGTACACAAGATATCCACAGACATATTATATTGTACTTTCCGCCGCACACGGCACCATTCCATTGTCATAAGCTACGTGAAAAGAAACGTACATTTTCCAATGCATATTAAAATATAAGCTGCGCATATAATAAATTGCACCGTTATCGTGTGGCACATTAAACGAATCCCGTTGTCCATATCGTTTCATAATTGACGTAGTCCTTACCTTATTAGGTACCATATTTTTATTCATACAATTTTTTAATTAATTGATACCATTATTTCTTATATTTCTATCATCATTATACTGTAATTTCTTTAAATATTTGCATCTAAAGTTTATTCATCTTAAAATCTAAGACAGAGCTTAGAATCATTATGTTCTGTCAGAAAAGCCAGTTCCACAAACTCATCACCCGGCCCTGCACATTGCAGCGTGTGAGTGAACGTATACTCGCGCGCATCGAATGCGGCGCTCTGCGTGGATAAATCTCGCGGATAAACCTTCCAGTAAAAGTAGCAAGCGGCGTCCTTCTCCGCGTGCTCACCGCGGAATGCATTTCGCAATTTTATGCTAATTTGGTTAGTCACCCTCGATCTGCGCCGCGCGCTCGCTGCGAGCGAGGAGAACGCGTAGGCCACGTTTGACAGAACGAGGAACACGGGGAGACAATGGCGACGGTGGCCGATTTGGTCTTTCGACACCGTCGATTGTTCATTGTCCGTTACCGCGCTGTCTCCTATCGCCGGCTTCCTCGGCGAGTTCGACTTACCGGAAAACGACGAAATGGCTGACCGGTTTTGCCGGCGCATTATCCGCGTCGTGCGTCATCCTCGTTTTTTCTGTCAGAATGAATGTATTTAGCACCGCAGACGAGTCTTGCACAAAAGATACCCAAAAACGAGGATCAGATCAGGTCGAAATAAGTCAAACTGAACGGACGGAAACGCTACAGTATCAATGAATGCAAGCTACTCGAAACAGTTCTTTTACTGTAAAGAAAGAAATTGAAATAATTTATAATTAAATTATTACTTTTGGTCAAACATTACATTAGAATCATGGAAGAAGAATTATTGTATTTGGAAGAAACTTACTTTCTAAGTTGGACCTATATTAAATGAAATTATACATATAATTAACGCAAATATTTTTTTAAATAAACTGTCTCATCTTTCAGCTAGCCTCAAGCTGTACTGGCTCCCGTACGTCTGAAGGTTAACATATACGTAGATGGTTTCGTTATGTGATTTGTGAGAGAGAGGGAGTGCAATAAAACCCCAAAGTATATAGTAAATATTTTTGTTCTGCCGTTCTCTCTCTCTCTCTCTCTCTCGTTCTCCCCTTCAATATCCTCACAGCGAACGTTAATGGCGACGAGAGAATAGAGGCTTCACGATGCAAGTTATCCAGGTCAGACAGAGAAAGCAGTAGCCCGGCTGCGGTGATACAAGGATCTTATGTAATTCATAATCGCACCTCTCTCGCGCCTTTTGAAACAAGAGTTAGCCGGCGGATTAATCGCGCGCGCTGTCCTGTCACTCGTACGACCGGATCATTTCAAAGTCACTGCGATCCAGATTGCGTTCGATCAACACAGCAGTGCTGTTTCGAACAGGGCGCGGCTTTTGCGCGAAATCCAAGCGCAACCAGCCCCGCCGATAAGAAAGCAGCTTTTAGGAAGCACTTTCTCCTGGAGTTTTTATTATCCGTTCCGTATCATTCACAATCGGACTTTCGTGTAACGCCATGGCGAGCCTCTCGCGTGCGATCGCGCCGCGTTTCCCCGGATCATTCATTTCCGCCTGTCATTTTTCGTATTAGTAACACTACAATGCCTTTAAAGTGTGAAGTTTATAGCATCGGAATTTCTAACGGTTTCCATCGTGCAATCACCACTAGCGGAAATTACTGTACGAGGAAAAAGTATTGTAAAATCGCTAAACGGGAGATTTTACACGAGGCTTCTTACAGTTACACAAATTCGACATGCTACATCCATTTTTTCGCTTGAAATTTCCGGGACATGAATGAGCACGGTTAACGGGGACGTCGTCTTCCACGGTGACAGTCACAGATGGACGCGTTGTCCTTGAATACTTTCGCCTAATCGTGCATCAGTCCAAGTGTCGCGCGCTGCAACGCGCCATTTTAAAGCTGAGCGCGCATGAACTTTGTCTCGACATTTGCGAAATGGACGGATCCTTCACGGTGTTTGAGTCTTATCGGGTTTCATATCCCGTTGCGTCGTGACATTCCGCGGAAATCTGCACGTACGACTTCTTTTTTTCCTTTCCACGATCTGTATCTGTTATAACATTAATCTAACTGTTTCTCGTTACTTCTCGTACTTCTCATTGCGCGACCAACGCTCACCGGCGACATGAGCTCCGAGCTGCAAGGCTAGAACTCGAGCTAAATTTCTCGACTCTCAACTGGTTTGGTGAGGTCCTGACGCGTAAGAAATGTCCGGTTGAGTGTTGACTTAACCTTCATCCGTTCCTCAAAACAGGTATTTGAACAAGAAACTAAAGTTCTTGCCACTTATCTCAATTAGAGACACTCAAAATTCTACACAACTTATTTACGATAAGATCCATTTTAGAGTCTTGAAAGCTTAGAAAGTATTCCAGCTACGTGAGACGTCATTTGTCCCGTATTTATAAGAAAAGAAAATAGTCCGAAATTTATAAAGTATCTAATCATTTTCACCTCCTCAACCCTGTATTGTATTTGACATAAGACTCGCGATTTCTGATGATATATGTAGCAGATAAACTTAATGCAATTTTTGTCAACAAACACATCGATAATTCAGAGGAAATCAACTTATGCCGCGCGTAGAAGAGCACCGAGAGTTTTCACGTTTTTCAAATTCCCTTTCTCCATTCAAAACACTTTATACGAGTAGAAAATTTGATGGAGACCGATTATAAGAGGCAATTTCGACTTTATCAGTGCACTACACATCAATATATCCATTACGAGAAGGATCATACGCGAATACACGGAGCGCATCTTCACGATATCGCCTGTGTGGGCATCGATGTCTCCGGAATCTTCGATATCGCTTGTGCAGGAGAGATCGATCGTGATGGCATCCACGCTTCGACTTTCTCAGGCCGCTTCTCGCGCTCGGGGCTTACCTCTGACGTCGTGGACGTGTCGCCAATATTCTGAGAGAGACCAGAATCCTAAGACGAACCAGTTGAAATGATCGGCCAGAAGAGAGACGAATCTTCAGTCAAGGGGGTGTAGGGTCCACGAGTTTTCTGCGCGGTACAAGGTCGCGGATGGCAGCAGGAGGATTGTGTAGCGGCTATCTACGCGACAATAAATCACACTTCGCGATCACACTGCTTCGCGAACCGCTCTGAAATCGCGTGCGGATCGCGGATCCGTTCCGTGCTCGCGATTACAATTTCTCGATTCGAGCGTTGCGGACGATCGAGCACCAACTGCTTCCACGACGCGATTCCAGATCGTGGTATGCGGCTGCTCGACCTCGCCTAAGAGGAAGATAGCACCTACTGCCACTATGAGGAGCCACCGTACGCGGCGTGTGTACCGTTACACACGCGCGCAGATTACAGGTGGTACCAGGTATAACCTGAAGGCAGCTTACAATCCGACCGTGGTCGCTGAAGATTTCACGGTTTGAAACAGCCTGTAGTCTTCAGACCGGCAGCAACGTACCTATCGTGCATGGATCCTGCATAACATTGCATGAGGTTAGGAGATTATATAAATAAACAATAAAATATATTCATTTTTTAATTTCATGATTACTTCGCTATGCATTTAAGTAAGTACTATGTTAGCATGTTAAAACGTTGGGTGAAACAATCATAAATTGAAATAAAAATATTGTGGATAAATAGTTATAAATAATTCGGCTATTATCATTCACTTTTCTTATTCAAATATGAATAATAAATAAATAAAAAATATAAAGGAGGATTAGTATATCGGGGACATGCATATTAATGGTATTACTATAATGTTAATAACGAAATGCTAAGGTAATATACATACGTCAAATAATGTCAATGTAATATACTCGTCATTGTTAATTTATTCACCGACAAACGTATTCAATAAGGAAGAGCTGAGAAGTAGACAGGAGAAATCTCACGTTTGGCCCACTGAGGATTCCTTAAAATACATTCTGTTTGGGTCGGCGCGCGTCACGTTTCATACGCCACGTTGCAGGTATGTGCAGGTGCGTATTTCTTGCCCGCGCGTTTTCGTTTTCCAAATACGATGTGCAAGTAGAATTCACGGAAGGCGGTCACCAGAACCCCTCAAAGAGGTCATCTAATCGACAGCTATTGTCGTCGGGGTCCGACATAAGACCCCTTTCTATAATTTTAGGCAGCTCCAGTGTCACTTTCGTGATGACCGGGTCTCGACCACATGTCAATAAAATTAATAGAATTTTTAACGATCAAAAGAGAAAGTTACGGCTCGTAAATATTAGATTGCTTTCAATACGGAAATATTGAAACATGGCGATTGATGATAGAAAAATAAAGATCAAGAAAGCAGAACGTTGTCTGTAAATAAATTTTTTATTCATTAATATTATTTAATCACACTCAAGTTTGTCTGAATATTTTTATAGAGATTTACGAAAGAATATTAATTGAATTTTTTTACCTATTTTTACATTAGAAGTTTGACTCACATTTTGCATAATTTTTTTAATTTTTGCGATTTTTGAAGTCTTGTCTTGTGCTTCTTATTTTAAATTATTTCGTATTCTCGATGCGTGAAGTATTTATTGTCGAGGTTAATTAACTGATCTAACAGATATAACAAACGAGTTGCGGCGCCGTTATCTCTACAAAGATATTCCTGATCACGTGGCGACTAAATTAAATCGAGTCCGCTTTGCCGTGGACGTGATGGGAATGTGGGAAATGGGTAATGGAACATGCGTTCCACTAATTCTATCACGTCGACACAATAAAAGTTATAACGACATTATTTACATATTCGTTTAGTACGCTACTACTAAGAGAGGCAAGCAGAAGATTTGTAAACATATATGTACAGGATTTCTAAATACTAAATCGAATAGTATGTAATAGTTGTTGACATACAAAGGAAGATAAACATAACATGGACATATGATTCAATTCATCTTATGATGTTTTTGTTCCTCTATTCAACTGCATGAATCCTTTAGATATTAACATAAATGCTTTTAAAATAATTAGAGTTCAATAATTGATTATCTATTCCAAGATTTAATCGACGACTACTGATAGATTCCATGGACTTTGTCTACCGCTCAGTAATGCGACCGCACCGTAATATCGCAAATATGCGAGCAATGTACTATAGATTTCCATTCACCATTCCTTCGATTTCACGAGCGAAGGATACGCGACAGCCTTCGGCAACCGGAATAATTCCTCCATGGCAACGATCAGCGGTGAGATTTCCTCTTTGACAAGAAAACGACTCAGCACGTGCTTTCATTTATATCACGGTTTATAATTCAAATTTACTATACCAGACGCTATTAAATGACAAATATGATAGTTCCAACTTGTGTAATGTATTTACGAAAGAAAATTATTTGTAATATTGCGGAAAGATGTTATGTACAATAGATAAGGCGAATTGTACGAATAACGATATGAAGATAAGAGTGGAAGCTACTATATTTCTGCTGGATAAAGCGAATAACATGCTGTTACTTTACCAGCGGAAGATAACTAAGCTTCAGTCGAGGTATACGTTTATTGTGTTGCTGAAGGCGATAAAATGACAGCATTTAACGTCTGAAGGTAGGTTTCCCTCATGATACTGTCAAGAGTCCATAAGATGTCACATTAGTGCATTCAAGTGCAGCAAGTCGTTTGTTTTTTCGAGTACTTCCGAAAATTACATCAATTGATATATATAATATATATATATATATAATGCTTTTTATTACATTTCTTAATGAAAATTTTATGCAAAATATGAACTAAATGTACCAATTTTCTTCTTCAATTCTTTGAAAGATTTTTTCTTATAGATGATTTTTATTAATTTCTATTGTTAATATTTACATAATTTTTTATAATCCTCGCATTATAAAAAAGTGATACTTGCCAGTTGTATTTTATTAAATCGTAATCGGGGTAGAACGTCACATAGCTCTTGGCGGAGTCATCGGCCACGATAAAGGGTGAGATATGATTTTTTTATCGGTAGCTTTTCAAGTGTTGCGTAAGTGGCCGCGACGGACGAGCATATGTTACTCGAGTGTGCGATAAAATCAACACCGAATTACACTCAGTCGCTAAATGATATGAGTAACCTCCGCAAACAAAATGATTTGCATTTAAATACGTTGAGCTACGTGTGTATTGACTATGAACTGATCAGAAATAAGTATCTAACAACACAATTTATTCTTCAGTCAACCTAAATTCGATTCTGTCTCAACAACAATGTAACTTCAATCTTTATTATCAGAAAATATCTCGTACGTTTCAAACTAACAACTACCACGGCGAAGAGAATGGTAGAGCCCCTTTAGTGTCCGGTAGAGCGCAATGGACTCTAAAATTGTCATGTGATTTGTGCTTGGATATTCTTTTGGAGAATTAGTGTCTTCGGAGCGTGAAATGCGTTACTTCGGAGCGTGATACTGTAGGGATTATGGGATGTCCTGCAATTATATGAGAGATGGCAATTATTTACGCTATTTTAACGGTGTGTATAAGGCCGCGAACACGACCAATGAGTAGAGGAAAATTATAGAACTGAACGAGGAGATAGGTGTTGAACGTGTGCCCAGGATATCGAACAAGGATTTTTCTATGGCAACGTTCTTGTAATTCCAAGGCGACACGATACTCTCCTTCGATTGATATGGATGAGACGGCTCGACTTTTGATATACGCTCGATTTCAAATGGAAAATCATGCTTGGATTGGATTCGCACGTGAGCTGAAATAAACTTATATTGCCGCGCTACACAGTCATCGCGTATACTAGTCTCTTATATGCGTGTCGTGTAATATGTATATATACATACATACTTCGGAATTTATGTTGCGATCTTTCCAATCGTTGGAAGATGTTTTTTATGTTGCATAAGAAGTGTTGTTTTATTAGTTGTCAATTATTTTTCTCAGTTTGAAATATATTTTTTACGTTTGTATCGCCAAATGATTTTTCTCAACTCTCTTTGTAATATTTCCATTCACTGTTGATCAACAATGAAGAATGTAAATTTATATATACAAGTTCTTTTTCTGTTCCTCGCATTATCCGGAGCATACAGAGAAGTGAAGCAACAAAATCAAGTAAATTGCACAGAAACTTGCAAAATTTTCGAAATTCTTGGACGATGAGAGTGCGCTGCTCTCTTTTGAAGTTAACCAATTTACTCATCCGCCTGTTTTATCTATTTTTCGTTGCGCTCCCACGCGGCCGCTCTCACTTTATCTCAATTCCGTCCCGCGACTCGCAAGATTCCTGCAGAATGAATATGCGCGGCAAGTTCGACATAGAAAAAAGAGAGAGAGAGAGAGAAAAAGGAAAAAAGGAAGGAGAAATTCCGACAGAAAGAGAAAAGGGAATTGGAGAGGGGCGACAAGCGGGGGAGGAGGCGGCTTGGCCCTTCTACAAACACTGTAGTCCCTCGCCGCAACTTAAATTGACTCGATAAAAGTTCGCGGAATAAAGCGCCACTATATCAGAAACATCTGCCAAACGTTATTACAACTTTGAATAAAGAACGGCGGCCGAGAGGGTGCCAGGGTGAGCGGGCGGGCCACCTCCTTGTCGTCCTTCCGACGATGACGAGAAGAGAGAGGAAAAAGTTCGAAGTTTGCGTTCGGCGAAGACCGTGGGAAAGTTCGCCCGTAAATCAAATCGTTATTTTAATTTTGTCAGCCTCACGTTACTCGCCCCGTTTCCGCCATTCGTTTTCATTTCATTGCGATCTGCGTGTGTACACGTATCAATTTCCAGCAAAGGTCTTGAGGACGAGCGATTGAATAATGATCCTTTTGTGCGATGATTGCTAATTTCCTCGATCGTTCCACTTTGATTTCTCTTCTAATCCTGCAATAAACACGCATGTTTCATTTTGCTGTTAAACAATTATTACTTATGTAATTCCATCTATATGCACAAAAAAATAATAATAATAATTTTATATATATATATATATTATCATATTAAATATGTATAAAATGTAAACTTAATGTATAACAATATGGTTACATTAGAACAATATATTGAGTGCAATTGAAGAGAAAGTGCAGATCCTCATAGAAATTTCCAAAAATTTTCCTAAATGTAACATGGATTCTGACTAAAATACCCAAATTTGTCTCAAATTTGTCCCAAATTGGTTATTTCATATACAACACCAACTGGGACTCCATTCTTGCCTCAAACCTGGAAATTCTTCGCCTATAATAAAAATAGAAACATTATAGAAACTAGCGCTCTCTTTTTCAATCGGTAAAGTTGATATGTTTTTT